ACACATTTTCTATTAAGCAACTCCTTCCTGGGGCTTAGACCCACAGGGCCTGCTCTTTCCTAACTGTCCTGGTGTTACTGACCTTATTAATGTATAGTTTTCCCTTCCATTATCATAGTGCTTTTTTAAAAAAATAGGTGGTGCTGATTTTGTCATTAAGTCTGCCTTAGCATATTCATTGGTTCCCTATCTTTATTTATTTATTTATTTTTGGTTCCCTATCTTTAAATGCTAAGATCAAATGTCCACTACTTTCCATCGAAGAACAAGTTGCTTCAGATCAGAAAAACTTTATGGACATCTACTATAACACAGAGAAGTCCCCCTCCTTAAGTCACAATTTCTCTCTTGCCACACAGGACTTGCCAGAGCTCTCTTCAATGGTGTGGATGTTCTTATCAGACAGCTTTCAGGCTGGCAGGGGGCTCATCAGGCAGTCTTGCTTCTTTCCCCAAATGGTACAAATCAACACAGGCTATTTCACTGGAACATCTTTCCACTGACTTAGATCAAAAACCAGATCCTTATGGGGGGGGGGGGTGCCATAGGACTACTACTAGCAATCCCTGGGTATTAATTATCTGGTCCACGATGACTCATTTTGAGTGGAGAGGTCTTGCTCGTCATTCATTCAATAATGTGAATGCCTACTGAGTAGGAGAAAAGGACATAAAAATCTGCATGAGCTAGGTGTCATGGCACACACCTGTTATCCCGGCACTTGGGAGGCTGACACCTCAGGATCGCCATGCATTGGAGGCCAGCCCAGGTTACATAGTGAGTTCAAGCCCAGCTTGAACAATACAGCTCAACTGTGTCTCAAAAAAAACAAACAAAAAAAATCAACAACCACAAAAAACAAGGAAACCCACATGATTAAGAAAAAGAAGACACAAATTACTCAGATATCAGAAATGAAGGAAGACCATCACTAGAAATCCCATATACATTAAAAGTATCATAAAGGAATACAATGAACAACTTGATGCCTAGATGAAATGAACCAATTCCTTGAAAGATACAATCTGCCAAACTCAAACAAATAGAAACAATCTGAATAGGCTTATATCTATTAGAGACTGAGTTAGTAATTAATGAACTTCCAAAACAGAAAACACCAGATGGGTTCACAGATGAATTCTATCAAACATAGGGAGCATTATATCAGATAAGAGTAGAGGGACTAGTTCATAACTTACTATATGAGGCCAGCATTATCTAACACCAAAACCAAAGACATTGTAAAAAAGATCCATAACTCTTAGGAACATAGTCAATCAAATTCAACAATATATGTAAGTGTTAGCCAACATATAAATTATATATATATATATGCGCCAATCAAATCCAACAAGATACATGAAAATAACTATATACTATCATCAAGTAGGTTTTAGTCTAGGTATGCAAGACAATGAGACAGAATAGAAATTAGAAACAGAGCAAGATAAATACAGCCAACTGATTTTAACCAAAAAGCAAAAGCAATGTGGGGAAGATAGCCCCTTCAACAAATGGTGCTGGGCCAACTAGACATCCAGAGACAGATCTTATACCCTTCACAAAAAGGAACTCAAAGTGGGCCACAGACATAAATCCAGAACTATAAAACTCCTACAACATAACATAGGAGAATGTCTATATACTCTTGATCTGGTGATGACTTTCTAGATATAACAAGGTAATACCCATCAAAGAAACAATAAGCTAGGTTTCACCAAAATTAAGTAATCCTGTCCTATAAAAGACACTATCAAGAGGATAAAAAGATAAACTATAATTGGGAAAAAATATCTGCAAAAGACATATCTGATCAAAGACCATTACCCAAATATACAAAGGACTCAAATTCAACAATAAGGAAACAACTGGTTTAACATGGACTAAGGACTTTCACAGATGTCATGAAAAACAGATCACAAATAAGCATTAAAAAGGTATGTGACATCATATGTCATAAGGGAAATGTAAAATAAGATGATCTATCACTAAACATTTATTAGAATGGCCAAATCCCAGAGCACTGACACCACCAAATGGTGGCAAGAACATGAAATAACAGTCCCTCTTGTTGCTGTGGTGGGAATGCAAAATGGTATAGTCACTTTGGGAGAGTCTGGCAACATCTTACAAAACTAAACATATTTCTTATCATACTATCCAGCAATCATGCTCCTTAGTATTTCCCCAAGAAATTCATATGTCCACTTAAAAACCTATACACCAATTTCTATAGCAGCTTTATTCAAAATTTAGAAGCAACCAAAAATGTTCTTTACAGATGAATGGATTTAAAAGGTTGTAGTACTCCAATTCAATGGAAATTTCAGTATTAAAAAGAACTGTTGAGCCATGAAAAAACATGGAACTTAAATGCATGCTAGTGAAAGACAATCTGAAAAGGCTACATAGTATGTAATTCCAATTATATGCTATTGTGGAAACAGCAAAACTATGCAAACAGTAAAAAATCTGTAGTGGAGGAGGAGATTCATGGGCAGAGGATGGAGGATTTTTTTTTTTTTTTGGTACCAGGTATAGAACTCAGGACCTTGTGCTTGCGAGGCAGGTGGAGGCACCACTGAGCTAAATCCCCAGCCTGTGCATGGAGGATTTTTAAGGAAGGGAAAAATATTCTTCATAATACTATAGGGAAGGATGGTGTATTGGTCAACTTGGAACACCTGGCTGAACTGAGTCAGCATGGTTCTGGGTGTGGAAGGCCCACCTGAGAACTGCTGCCAACAGCATAAAAGAATGGGAGGGAAGATTGTACACTGTTGATTTTCCTGAGAAGCTTGCTGCAACTGGTTTTCCTGATGCGAACTCAACTGTTATCATCAGAGGAGCTCGGGTCCTCGCTGTCGCTGGGGATAGCTGATGTTCTTATCAGGGGTTTTCACCATGAGCACTGCTTCCTGCTCCATGCAGATCCCTCAGCCTGATGGCACAGACCCTTCACCATGCAGGCGCATACTTTCTGGCTTCCACCATTGGCCTTTGGGCCTTCCTGGGGCAGATCCTCGATATGGACAAACATGAGACATTGCCATGGGCTCTGGGGCTCCTTATGGACTTGTGAAGGACTCTGCCTTGGGCTTCAGGCCTTCAGCTGAGCTTGTGTGGGACACTGCCATGGGATCCAGGCCCTTAGCTGGATTCTTGGGTCTCCAGTGAGTGGACAGACCTCTTCCACTATTCTGCATTTGGCTTTTTGAACATTAAAAAATAATACTATAAATTATATGTCCTGTATTAAATCTATTCCCTTACAAACTCTAACTACAACAAATGGATATCCTTGTACATTTGTTAAGACTCAAAGGATAGCAAGAGTGAACCCTCATGTGAACTATCGACCTTGGGTAATGACAATGTGGCACTGCAGGGTTATCACCAGGAACAACTGATGGCAGATGCTGAGAATGGAGGGAGGTGAGAGAGTCATGAGAAATCTCTATACCTTCCTATCAATTTTGCTATAAACATTAAATTTCACTTTTTGGGGGGGGTACTGGGAATCAAACTCGGGTCCTTGTGCTTGCGAGGCAGGCAGTGGAATCACTGAGCTAAATCCCCAGCCCTAAATTTCACTTTTTAAGTGTCTTTTCTTTTTTTTTTTGGTACTGGGGATCAAACTTGGGACCTTGCACTTGCAAGGCAGGTGGCGGCACCACTGAGCTACATCCTTTGCCCTCTTTTTAAAAGTCTTAAAAATTAAAGTCTGTGAAAAAAAAAACTCTACCCACAGAGTCTCACACATGGTTCCTAACTGTTATGGTTTGGGTCTAGATGTCCCTCCAAAGCCTCATGTGGTCATAAGCTTGATCTAGAGTGTGTGAAGCTGGAGTTGACTGATGATGCAATAGGCTCAAGGGCATTAGGATTAAGGGTGAGTGCTACTGGCCCTAAGTAGTCTAAACAAGGTAAAATAAAAGGGGCAGGGAGAAGCTGTTAACTCGCTTGTTGCCAGCTGCTCCCTTGTGCGTACCATGTTGTTTCTCCTCTGCAATGCCTGTTTGTCATTCCTGCCTGGTATCCAGCTGATTACGGACTGAAACCTCTACAAACTGTGAGCCAAAGAAACCCCTTCCCTTCCAACTTTTGGTGTCGGGTGTTTTGCCTCAGCAACGAGAGAAAAGTAACTAACACACTAACCATAAACAGCTCTTAGTTTCTCTTTATGGAGACATGCTAACAAATAATATGGGACAATTATTAGCCCTGGCCCTATTAGGCTGTGGTCACCCCACCCTCCAAAGGCCCCTTTCTTTCCATTTACCACACTAGGTATGATGACTTAGACTATTTTCTTTCAGAAAATGTGCCAAAGTCTAGGAACTGTTTTCCTGCTATAGATTGCAGCCAATAAAAGCCATAAATCAGTGGGATTTAAACTGTTTCTGACCTAGCTTTGTGTTGTAAGATGCACAATGAAGAGTTGGCCTGGACACTCTGATTCTTTGGTCACTAAGTTTCTATCCGATTTACTGCAGTTCTTGCATCTCAAGGTATGCACAGAGAGGCATTATAGGAATACAAGTCTTTTTTGACTGCTCTGGTCACTAATCTTCAGACACCAACTGAAGGCTACAAAGTTCTGACTACCACAGGGAATTAGTATCCTAGCTGGGCATGGTGGTGCGTCCTATAATTCCAGTGACTTGAGGCTGAGGCAAGAGGATCCAGAGTTCAAGATTATACAGCAAGACTCTATCCAAAGAAGAAAAGGCAGACCAAAAATAGCAGTATCTTTTTTTTTGGTACCAGGGATCAAACTCAGGACCTTGAGCTTGTGAGGCAGGCAGCAGAACCACTGAGCTAAATTCCCTGCCCGGTATCTTTACTTTTAACCATAGATCAAAATCTTTGGTTCGCTATTCCATAAATTATTCTTTTCTCCAATTCTGACTGTTTCTGCTCTTTTTGGCTAATGCTTACCGAATTACTGGTTGGTAATTATTCAGCTATTTAATTAATAAAGAGCATATAAACCAGAGAAAAGTACAGATCACTGTATTTATTACATGTTTAACACATTCAAATTACAGAATTCAACTCCGAAATAAGGTAATAAATGCCTGTTAAAGTGTTACTCAGTTACATTTTTTTCTCCTAACATTTTAACACAGCAGAATACCTTAAGACACGTGTATAAATTCAGTGCACTTTCAGTGGCTCACAATCTTGAGACAAATATGACGTTTGTCCATAAAAAAAGACAAAGACTTCAGTATTTGAGAAATATTACTGATATGAAATAAAAATAAAGGAAAAATGAAACACTGCACTTTTACCATGACTGTTCTGGCAGCTGATGGCCTAACACTGTTAAAGGACACTCCTGCCCGGCACATGCGCACTGCCCAAGGGCTCAGCTTTGCCATGCAGCTTCTCTGCGGGACACCATGGCCCCTCCAACCCCCAGGCCTGTCTCCCACCTCCCCAGGGACTACTCTGGTGGGGCCTGAGCTCCTCCCCTTTCCTGTGGCCTCTTATTCCTCCAGGTCTCCACTCTCAGCAAAGATGCCAGGCACAAAACTCACCTAGCTGAGCTTCCTCTCAGAGCTCTGTGGCCAGGTGCTGCCCTTCCCTGACTGAACGATGGCTAAGAGGAAAGATAAGGAGTCTGGCCACGGAGCTCAGCCTCCCTACCTGAGGACCACCCCCTAAGATGCAGAAAAGGCTGACGGGCCTGATTTAGAACTTAAAACATTCAATGAGTCTAGGTAGACTATATACTGATCTACAGTTCTTTGTATCTATTCTTTCTTTTTTTGGTACCAGGGATGGAACTCAGGACCTTGCGCTTTCGAGGAAGGCGGCGGAACCACTGAGCTAAATCCCCGGCCCTCTAGTAACTATTTTTAAAATCATAAAAATATAAAAATTGCACATATTCTATTACACATTTCAACAGAAACCTGTTACCCTACTTTTGATTAGTGGGTTCAGAAAGAACAAAAACGATGTCATGTTCTTGGCGGCTGACCCAAAATTGTGCCCCCAGCCCTGGACCTGATACCAATGCACATCTCCTGCCACTAGACAGCTGTGTGCGCCAGGCACGTCTCACGACAGCTACTGCTGCCACTCGCAAACACGCCGTGACCCCTCCAGGCAGCTGCCACACACTGCGAACATCTGACCCCATCATGCTAACCTGACCCTGCCTCAGTGACCCTGCATACACAGAAGCACCGGGCACTGTGCCTGCTGCAGATTGAGAGCCTGTCCTCTCCACTGTCAGAGCAGCAGCAGGTGAGGGGACCCTGGGGACAGGCAGGAGTGGAGGCGGCTGAAAAGCCAGCTGTGTGGCCAGCAGCCCTCTGCGTCAGCAGAGTCCTCCACTGCCACAGCCTGGGGTTCAGCCTGAGCCTAACCTTCTGGAAGTCACATGGAGATCCAGTCACCCATCACTTTCAGCAGGGTTTCACTCATGTTTTTAGGAATGAAATTAACAAAACGTTACATTTTAAAAATGATTAACTTAAAAATTAATCCAAAACAGTGCTTTTATTTGCGTTGTGCACACTACTGACTACTGAACTCTCCCACCCCAGGTCCTTGTGGCGCCTGTACCAGGCGTGAGTGATGAGATGACTGAGAAGCAGAACGCTGGCCAGGTGAGAAGGAAGCGGCACTGACCCACCAGCGCCGAGCACAGTGACTTCAGACTGTTACCTGAACTGTCTCCACGCTGATGTGTCAGAATGCATGAATTAAGGGACTATTTTCTGCAGCACCATAAGGTTTTATAAAATACTACTTTAGTTAAGGTACATTCTTCAGATTTTGGTCCATCACTCAGATTAGGCATAACCTCTTATTACTGACGATAATCCTGACAGAGGCCACACAGCCAGAGCTGTAATGTGAACGTGGCATACTCAGCTGGTCATTGCTTCAGCTGGATCCGCTGAATGAGAGTAGATTCAAAGACCAAGGAAGATAATCTTAATATTTATAAGCTAGTCACAAATTTTAATCTCCCAAACGACCACTGATTTAAGATACCAGTCACACCGAAAGCCTTTTTCTGTGTGCTTTCTCACAGGTTCTGTTTCTACACAGAAATATGCTGCAAATGCTCTAGTTTTAAATAGGAATATGGTGATTTACTTTAAGTTTTAAAACGGAAAACAAATTTTATAGCCAAATTATCTGGAATTATGTATGATAAACTGTCTACAGTAAAAAATATACCACAGGTTGAATCTCTCCCCAGTATCCAACATGCTTGTGGATGTCCTACAACTACGAGCATGAGCTATGCCAACCTAGGTCAACAGTCACCCAAGCAAAACATAATTGAAAGTACTGATTTACCTACCACAACACACTGCATGCCAAAGCCAAGTATTAGTTAGGTTTGGGATTATCAATTTCATGTCTCCACTCCATTAATACAGAGAACTGAGTCTTGTCTTTATTAAAAATTAGCTAGTATTAGAGTAAACTTGCTATAAAATTATTTATAACAAAATAAATTATTTTCAGTACTTCTATACTAAGGGATATATAAATCATTAACATTTTATAACATTAGCTTAGGTCACTTTTCTGGACCCAAACATACTGTACAATCCTGAGTAAAAGTGTAAGGATAAATTTTCTTGGGGATCATTCTTGACCAAGAATCTATAAGAAAACACATAAATCACAATTTGTAATAATTCCCATTTTCATGAGAAGTACCATGAGTTCTTTAACTTTGGTAATTAAGTTTATCTGTGTAAACCATTTATCTTGATAAGAGTTCAGCAGGCTCTGCTAGGATCCCTCCAACACCATTTTTTTTTTTTTGGTACCAGGGATTGAACTCGGGACCTTGCACTTTCGAGGCAGGCAGTGGCACCACTGAGCTAAATCCCCGGCCCTACCATCATCACCTTTTGACACTGATACGATAAATAGTCTGGAAGAGCAGGGCAGGAGGACCTGAACCACAGTGCTAATCCATCAGCATGAACTCGGCAATGCAGTAGGCTGGAGGTGGATGGGAGCAGCCGACAGGCCAACAGCCCTTCATTTCCTATAGTAAAACAAAAATGAAAGCTTTAATATGGAAGGACTTGAACAGACATTTCTCCAGGAAGATACACAAATGGCCAATAAGCACAAGAACAGCTGCTCAACATCACTATCACTAGGGAAATGCAAACCAAACCTATAGTGAGACATTCTTCACACCCATTAGTAAGGCTATTACCAAAAACGCTGATGAAGATGTGGAGAAACTGGAACCCTTGTGTATTGCTCATGGCAATGTAAAATGTAGTTGCTATGAAAACGATATGGTGGTTTCTCAAAAAATTAAATATGGACTTAACATATGATCCAACAAGTCCACTTGGGTATATAACCAAAAGAAATGAAAGCAGGGTGAAAATGGATATGCTATGTCCGTGTTCACAGCAGCATTATTCACCATAGCTAAAAGTGGAAAAAACCCAAGTGTCCATGACAGATGAATGAAGGATCAAAAGGTGGTCATTCATACAGTGGAATATTCAAGCTGAAGAAGAAAAGAAATTCTGGCACTTACTGTAATAGCCTTGAGACATCATGCTAAGTGAAATAAGCTGGACTTGAAAGGACAAATACTGTGTGATTCCACTTATGTAAGGTACCCACAGTGACAAGTTCATAGAGACAAGAAACAGTTGCGAGGGAAGGAGGAGGAAGGGGAAAGGGGAGTTAAGTTTTTTTTGTTTTGTTTTTCCCAGTACCGGGGATTGAACTCAGGACCTTATGCTTGCAAGGTGGGCTTGGTGCCACTGAGCTAAATCCCCAGCCCAGGGGAGTTAGTTTTTAATAGGTGAAGAGTTTGAGTCAGGGAAGAGGGAAAAGTTCTGGAAATGGATGGTGGTGACAGTAGCACAATGTGAATGTACTTAATGTCATTAAACTCTGTTTAAAAATAGTCACAATGATATATTCTATGCTATATGTATTTCTCAATTTAAAAACTACTTAATATGGTCTGAAATACACACTCATCGGAGAGACATTCGTCACAGGAAGCAGCGCTCGATGGAAGCTCATGAGGCCTGATCTGTGTTCTGACTGACAGGAAGTGCCCAGGAGCAGCATCTAGGACACAGGATGCTTCTCCAGAACTCCACCAACCTTGAATGTCAACAACATGAAGCCTCAGTTTCTGCTGCAGCATTTTTAGGGCAGAAGGCAGAGCAGCTTGAGGTTCTGATATTTTTATATTTTGCTTCACATCATTCGCAAAGGATAACCACAGTTTACCAAAGTCTTCAGTTGAGATCTTTAATGGCCTGAGAATAATTTTTAAAATTAGATTTATATCCATAAGTATGAAGTGACTCTAAACAGATTTCTAATGACTCATGGAAATAACATGTAACTGCTATAAATATGGGTAACACAAAGTTTATCATTTTTAATCAAATGTGATTCGAATACTGTCATATTCCAACCTGATGAAAATAATGAAAGCAGGTGGTATTATTAAATTGCTACGACTTCTCAATAAATCACTAGGTTCTTGCTTTTGGATGTTAGTCATTCCAGTAAGATGTTACCAAGTAATTTCATGAATCATTCAAATGTAATTAATACAAAACTTTTCTTTCATGTATACTTCGGATGTGGGGATAATGAGATATTCTATTAGAGTCATGTAAAAGATTATAAATACAAAGACCTGGCACCTTAAATAAATTAAACTGAGACAATTTTATCAAATATACAATATTTTAAAAATAGTTATGAGACTAAAGGTCAAATAGCTAACACTGGGTATCTCTAGGGGTAGGATTACAGGAAACCTTGATATTATACTTCCACTTTTCCACAGTATTTGAATTTTTTTTTTTTTTTGGTACTGGGGATCGAACTCCGGACCTTTCACTTGTGAGGCAGGCGCCGGAACCGCTGAGCTAAATCCCTGGCTCCTTGAATTTTTATAACAACTATACACTTATTTTATACTCAAAAACTATTTTTAAAGATACAGAGAATTTTATTATTATGCACAAAACAACTGTCCGTGTTACACATACTGTGTTTCCTCGGATAACTAATGCTCATCGTGAGACAGACCTTCAGTCATAGGATGCAAAATTTAAGGTTAGATTTATAGAAGGCAATAGGCACAAATCCTGTTAACAGGCTGTCAGAGATGTTTTTACCAAAAGACTTTAAAGACTGGGTAAAAATTACAGTAGTGTAACATAAGTAGTGGCCCTAGTTAAAAAGACTACAAATATTCACAGGTATTTGCTTTCTTGGTTCAGCCAGCCTTCATTTTAAAAACTGCTCAAATACCATATGATATATTTATAAAACTAAATGAAAACAAGAAATTGTTTGCAATTATTTGGTAACATTGCACAGCATCTAATATAATGCTAAATACTTACTGTACATTTAATAAAATTTAATAACTTTTAAGAAATTTTCTTATAGATCGCTAATGTTTAATAGATTTTATGAAAAAAATCAATCAAATGAAACTTTAAAAGCTTAAAAAGACATGCAGAATCTTTGGAGTTATCTCAATTCTTCAAATATGAAGTATTACCTTCAGAAATTTCTCCAGATCACCAATCAATCTGAACCCAATCAGGCCTTATAATGCAGTATCTCCCTGTACCACTTATTTTCTGTCACACACAATTCCTAACTGTGTGTGTATTTAATGTGATTGTTCAAGGGCTCCTCCCTAGACTGGAAGCTCTCTGAAGGCAGACTGTCTCATTTTTAACTCATACACCTTACCACCTAGCATAGTGCCTCTGTCTTGAAAAAAGTCTAATAATATCCACTAAAAAATGACTAAATTAATACTCCAAAAGTATTTACCTAATGAAATCTAATAGTGATAAGTTTACAGAAAATTCCAGCTGAACAGAATGAGTATCCACCATTTGATAATTGACAAAACCAGAGAGATTCTCTTCTGTAAAAGGCTTTTCCATCTGCAGGCTATACTGAAAATTTTTGGTGCTTCCTGCTTCCATTACAGGCAAACAGCATCCACGTTGCTCACTGATCTGGAAATAAAAGTTATAAAAATACTGAAGGAAGGAACAATACACTCTATTACATGAATACCAATTTTCTATTTAATGAAGTGGTACAAAATCATACTAATGTGAGAAGTTAATAAAGGACATTACGAAGATGACTGACAAAATTCACTAGCACAGATAATAAAAAAGATACAGGCCAAAACTATGTACCAAATGACATTATGGTTAAAACCTATGTACAAGTTTGTTGTTTCTTTCTAAGACTGTTAAATTCTCGTCTGGTGGCTCTGGATCTTGGCTAGCACCAAGCCCTGGTGTGTGCACGTATGGTGCTGGAGATGGAACTCAGGGCACCATGCACACTAAGCAAGCGTTCAGCCACTGAGCTGTACCCTCAGCCCCTGCACCAGATTTCTGAAGCCAGCAGAGTTTAAGGAACAGTAGTAACACAAGTGTCTTGCACCCTCACTGTCTGCCCTCACTCAAGCGCTAGTGGTAGAGGTCAGACAACTGGGTTGGGTCTGTCTTCATTTTTTAAGTTCCCAGAGCAAACAGGGTCAGCTTCATGGAAGACAGATGCACTGGTCAAATAACTGGACCAAGGACATGCAGGTAGCAATGTGGGCAGACACTCCTCAGGAATGGCACTTCAGTCCCTTCAGGTGGGGAGGAAACAACTGATCTGAGCACTCAGCACAGAGGAAGAAGGCAGTGGGAGAGAAAGGCAGCAGGCGGTGTGCACATTTATCCGTCAGGAGTCTTACTCCTTGATGTTCCAACTGGTTCTGTTAAACAATCTGAGAATTTAGTTTCAGTGGTTATGATAAAGGTAAACGAGACATTTAAAGAGTGCAGGAAGAGAGAACTCAAAATACACTAAAAATAGAAAAAAATAACATTTATCATACCATTTATTGCTAGAAGCGTCTCCTAGATATTAACTCGGGTAAGCCTCACAGCAACAGGCACACGCTATTAATGTTGTCACTTAAACAGGAGGAAACTGAGGCACGATGCAGTTAAATATCTTCACCATGGAGCACTGCTAATAAGCTACAGAAGCAAGATTCGCAGCCAAGCAGTGAGAGCCGAGAGCCAGCTCCTGTACTGTGCTCCACTGACACACACTTTACATCTCTCGACCTCCCCTGGGACAGTCGTTATTATGCCTGCTGGTCTCATTTAAATAATGTTCTGTACTTAAAAAATAACAAAAATTTGTCACAACTCCTACTTGTTTTTATTTAAAGAGGTCAGATGATTGGAAGAGCCAATAGCAGAAACCCTTAGTACCACTGTCCACATAAAAGCAGAAATGACAAACCATTCATTGTCTTACCTTGAAATTTTGTGCAGGAAAAATGTCTAAGTCAGCACCTTTCAACTGGGAACCACTCTTACTAGTGACTGACCAGACCATCAGCAAACAATCGTCTTTCCAGAGTTTGTAGGAAGACACAGACACAGTTTCGTCACTACAGACCTCCATGCGACCTGAACACATGTCCCCAGCAGTTTCTTCCAAGAAACAAGAGGCTGAGGCGATGTCCCTGGTCAATGAAGCTGCAGCAGATGAAGGGGGCTGAAAAATTTCCATGTCGCTATCAGCAAACAAAGAAAGTGCAGACAGGCTGCAATCGGAGACTTTCTCAGCCAAAGGCAGTTCTGAGAGAGACTCTGAATCCGAAAGTTCTGGGCCAAGGGGGAGGTCCTTTGATTCTGTGTCTTCTCCATCCTGCAAAGCAGTCAAGTAATCATTTTCTTCATAGGCCACATGTGACAGAGAATTAAGAGAAGAACAAGTCAGATTATGGGTACTGGCTGCTTCTCCACTTTTGGCCGCCTTGACTTTTGATTTTCTTCTGAACTTGTGAGAGATGACGTCTGGTTTTCCTAGCTATAAAAATAAAACATGATAATATAAAAAGAAATTATGTTACTGGTCACAAGTTTTAAACATTCTTCTATAATTTCAAATGAGCAATTTACTAACTTGCTAAATCCCATCTATCAAACAAGATTAACACAGAATTGGAGATGAATAAAATGTTAAGGCCTAAAATTTTTATCACTACATTCACTTTGAACTATTAGCTACATCTTATTTCTCATTAAAACCATATAAAGTCAGAAAAAGGTCAAAAAGTCAGTCTTGAACAATTATAAAACTTGCTATATTTCAGAATACTAACATACAGAATTGGACAAATTAAAAAGTGAGAAATAGTTTTAAAAAACATTTTCCAGAGTAGTTTAAGTTATCCTTAAATACAGAGATGATCAATCTCTTGTTTCAGTTCATCTAAGACCACTGTGATGCCGTGGTCTACACATTAATAAGCCAGGAAGAAAGTCTGGTTTCACCTCAAGAATCAAATGCAGAGGCTGTGTGCAACAGTCAGTGGGAAAGAATTCTTAACCAACTTGAGATGTTTTCTACAGACACAGGACACAGAAAGGCAAGCGTGCCTCCATCACATCATCCTGAGGACCCGTCCAGCATGGACTGAGGAGTCGGGCCAAGGGCCCCAGCCTACCTGAGTCAGTCTAGCAGCCGCCCCATTCTGAGGCGCCCCTCCACGGCCTCCTTCACGTGCCTCTGTTGTCCAGAACTGCAGCTCCCTGTCCAAGTTTCTCCAGCCCTCTCCGCCCCAGCACCTTCTTGCTCTCCTACCTCCCAATTCAGAAGTCAGCCAGCAAGGACCAACACGCTATGAGGGCAGAAGGCAAAAATGGGGGAGGGCCCAGGGGCAGGTGGACAAAGGACTCCATTTCCAGCAGTTACAGGCTCAGACAGGTAGGAGACTGTGTGGCACTGTCCTTCAGGCCACAGCTGTTCTGTCCTTTCTGTTTTCTCTCTCTCTTTCATTTTGGAAAGTTTCTATCACTTTGTCTTCAAGTTTAATGATTTCTGCTACACTGTCAATCAGAAGCTGCACGGGCCAAAGGCACTGCAGTGATGCCTTTGTTAAAACACTTACAGAAAACAAATAGGACAATGCTGCATAGCCAGATAAAATGTCTTTAAAATGATGGTGAAATTTTATGACAGAATAGTGGTCATTTTCAGCTTCTGAATAATGAAAATTTACATAACCATCCTCCTTAGACATAAACAGATTGATCCCTATTTTTCACGATTTAAAAAGCCATTTAAGATGTACTCCTCCCAGACACCAACTCTGCTGACTAAATGCTGAGACTTCTGTCAGCTGTTGCATGCAGAGCGTGAGGACGCTGGTTGTATCTGTGACCTTGCCCTAGCTGACTAGGCTGGAGAAGAACTGATTCAAGGTGAACCAATTTTCTCCTCTGGGGACATAAACGGGTGTCAAGGTGGCTCTGAGGCAGGGACACGAAGCCACTTTCTGCTGGGTATGCAGAGGGCAGCCTGAAGGCTTTTGAAGAAGATCTGGTGTTCCACACAAACAGGGACACAGGTTCTCAGGAGAACAGACCAGTCCCTTACCAAACTGACGGTACTTTCTGATCCCAGCCCAACAAACAACGACGATGCTAACAGCTGCTTCTCCTTCTCTTCTTTAGATGGGGCGAGGACCTGAGCTTGAGTCCTTTTTGCTGCAGCCTGGTCTATGTTCTCCGAAGGGGAGACCTCTGGAGGAAGGGGCGGAGCTTCTGCTCCATCCCCGGCTGCACTCTCCTTCTGGGGCAGATAGCCCTCTTTCCCCCACAGCTTCTTCACACCTTCCAGCTTCAAGCTATTTGTCCTAAGGAGATGGATGAAGAGATTATACCAATTTAAACAGTTTCTTTGTTGAGGTCCTCTTTCAAAAACACATTATTGCCAGTCTCATTTTCTATGTCATACAGAAGTAAACCTAGATCATTAGACTTTATCTCAGTTAGTCAAACTCAGCCCACCCTCTAACCAAGACTTTAAGGTCTCATAACCTAAATTTAAAGATCATTTCATTTTTACTTAATTGCTTGGAAAAGTTACACAAAAATGTACTATAAATCAGTGTTTTCCTCCATTGATTAAAAAAATATACCTGATCTTTAATTCTGATAAAGATCAGAAATGACTCGAGTTCTTAGCAACATAAAGGAATTAAACCTAAATTCATAGCTGGGCATGGTGATGCATGCCTGTAATCCCAGTACTCTGGGAAGCTGAGGCAGGAGGACTGCAAATTCAAGCCCAGCCTGGGCAACTTAGCAACACAGTGGGATCATGATTCAAAACTTTTTTTAAAATTTAAAGGCCTGGGGATGGATTGTGCAAAGGCCCTGGGGTTCAATTCCCAGTATTGTAAAACAAAAGAAACAAAAACCCTAAGTTCACTAAATAATAATTTATAAACATAAATTCACTCTAATCCTGTGGAAAGCAAAAGAAATCATTCAAATACACTATGTAAATTTACATTTAATCTAAAAAGTTTTCTTAATGTGAACACTACATTTTCAACTATTATAAATGTACTTTAATAAACATGAAATGAGGTTTGGTCTGGAAAAGAAAAAAGATTTTGGTGGAGATGGAACAGGAACCATCGTGTTACATGAAATAATCCAGTCTCAAAAAGCTAAGTACTGCATGTTTTATATGAGCAATCTAAATAAATAAATAAACAAATAAAGGAGAAATGACAGCAAATTAAAAGGTAGACTTAGAGATGGGGCAGGAGACTGGAGGATGAGGGAGGAAAGAGAGAGGGGATAAAGGAGGTAAAAATAATCAAAACACGTTACATGCAGATACAATATACCTACATGAACCTTGTTATTCTCTTTACTAATATGACTGGGGGAGGGAGAGAGGGAAGAAGTGAAGGAGGGTAGAGGAAAGAGAAGAGGGAAAAGGGGGGAGAGAGAAAAGAAGGAAGGACAGGAAAAGACTTTAGGAAAAAGCAGGAGGCTTAGGAATTGTTCTGAAACTAAGCTGAAAAGAGCTAAAGCACTGATTAAGAGCCAGGTGCCCTGCCCCAGAGCCAAGACAAGGCACCTAGGCAAAAACTCCAGGACCAAATCCAGAATACGGACTCACCTAATGTTATCTTGAAAGTTAACAGTTGTGACCATGGAGGGACTAATTCAGTCACAAACACAGGATGAAACAGCCCAAGATAGTCTCACTGTCTTCATAGAAAAAACTATGCTTAGATCAATTGTGGTAATCATTTCACCATGTAAATACATATCGAAGCATCGTGTTGTATACCATAAATGCATGTAAGTTTTATTTGCCAATCATATCTCAATCAGACTGGGGAGCATGGAAGAAGCACTACCAAAAGACAAATGTGTAAAACTGTGCCCTTTGCAACTGGCTCATTTAAGCATTCCTGTCAAAGTTGAAAATAGCACTTTTTAAATTTATACCACAAGCTGGGCATGATGACACATATGCCTATAATCCCAGCTACTTCAAAGGCTGAGGCAGGAGGATCACAAGTTTCCGACTACCCTGAGCAATTTAGCAAGACCCTGTCTCAAAATAAGAAGGGCTGGAGATGTAACTCAGTGGTACAGCCTTTGCCTAGTACGTGCAAGGCTCTGGGTTCAATTCCCAGTAACTAAAACACACACACACACACACACACACACACACACACACACACACGTCTATCTCACCCTGCTAAACAGAGTAAATTCAAAAATATTTGTACTTATTATTACTCCCATCTAACTTGCTGAAATCATGATCAATTTGATTTTCTTGTATGAGGTCAAGCAAACATGTAGTTATACTTCAGACTGAGAAAAGAATTAGTGCTATTAAGCAGTAAGTGGCTGATAGAAAATGTGAATGTTAATAAAGGAGGTCCTGCAGGGAACTGGTTCATTCCTCCTCTCAGTTTTTACAGAGAAGTAATCATTTTTAAGTATCTTCATTTCCCCCTTTCTTTCAGGTGCCAAAAAAGTGTTCTAAAATGTTTTTTTTAAAAAATACAATTATGTAATGAACCTCTTAAGCAGATCCAAAAGTGTTCACAGGAACCCTGGCAGGAGCTGAGCATTCAAAGCTGGAGAGTCCCTACAGCTGGGTGACGGTACCTCTGTGCTCCTTTAACCAAAATCATTCATTCGTTAAAAGAAGAGCAAGAGCAAGTCCCCAGGCCTTACCGCTAAGTGGATGGGCACCAGCATCAGAGGGGAGGGCAGGTGTGGACCCTGGGGGAGGATACCCAGCAGCTTTGGGCTGCAGGGGGGCTGCCTTGCCAAGACCAGGCCGGAGCCCCTCAGGGAAGCCACAATCCAGTGACTGAGAGACTGGTCCAACTCGAGACAACTCCCCAGGTCAGCAGAGGCTGCCGGCCACACTGCCGGCCTCCTCTCCCTCTGCCCACCCTGCTGCATCCCCTCTTCCCCAGCTAAGCTGGTCCCAAGCACTCGCCCTGGCCTTCCCATTCTGCACACTGAACACCACCATCAGCAGGCAAACAGGAGAGGAGGTCAAAAGGAGCTTGAGCTGTTTTAAAGATTTCTCCCTATGATTTCACTGCATACACTTTTTATCAAAATAAATTCCCTAAAAGTGAGGAAATACCTGAAGAACAGCATAAGGCCATTTCAAACCCAAAGTATGCCTCTGTTGGTATGATTTCTTTTTTTCTTTTTTTTTTTTTTGGTACCGGGGATCAAACTCAGGTCCTTGCGCTTGTGCAGCAGGCGGCGAAACCACTGAGCTAAATCCCCGGTCCCCAAAGTATGCCTCTGAATGATATGACAATTTGTAAACAAACATTTTAAAAATATGAGTCGTATTTGCCTGGATTCTGGCAAGACTGCTATAAATTACATGGTTTGTACAGTCCTTTTGTACTGTTTCTAACAGACCACTCAAACACAGACATAAATTCTGAACAAGTACCTTGGACAGACTAGGGATGTTCTTCAGCTCAGTTCTAGCAATTCCCACCTGAGGTGGGTGCCATTTAGTAAAAGCCTTCTATAAGAAAGACATTCAAAGTTGGGCTTGCTACCAATCTACCCTCCTCTTGCCAGACTCCCCTCAAAAGTGGATTCACCTGCTAATTACCACACAGGCTCCTAATCTGAAGTAACGTGTGAAATGTGGTCCTCTGAAATTCTAAGTTCATCCCTCAAGTTCCACTTCACAATAAAACAGTATATATCACTCCATTTCCTAGCAGGTGGGCCCAGTGCCAGTTCTCCAAGGACAGGACATGTCAGAGAGGATTTGCAAGGCCCCATCCCATCCCCAGATGCAGCTCATGTCTAAAGGCAGGTGCTCTCACCTGCTATACAGGTGAACAAGTGGGATGGGGACCAAGGGATGGGGTGGGGAGAGAAGGGGATGGACAGAGAATGGAGATGTGTTATGCACATGTACCAAGGCTTCATATGAACATGATGATGACGTACTGCAACATGGACTAATAAAAACTTCTAAATTATTTGTGTAAATATTGTGTAAGCTCTTCCCTAGGTTTGGAAGGTTCCTGTCTCTCCTTCCCCTGCTCCTCTATTCCCTGTTTGGAACACTTATTGCTGTCATCTTCACTATCATAAACTCACAAACCACATCTGCTCCCATGCTGGGAGCACAGAAATTAAATGTCTGGCAAAGAAAATAAGGACGCAAATAGAGCAGGGAAAGACAGGTTGAGAAGGAGAATTTTAACACAGGGCATTTAATAAGTTACCATTTTACATTCTCATAATCTGTGTCATTCTTCTGATAAGTATTTCTTATAACCATCTCATTAGACAAATATAATCATGAAAATAAGGTGACTGACTTCTTAATGAATATGAAAACTTAAAACTTAAATGTCATCCTTCAAAGTTGTCACCTTTGAGGTTTTATCACATTTATGCTGTGACATAAAACATCTTGAACCTTTAAATGGAGCTTATTTACAAGGAACAAGCCCTTTTCATTACTTTATTATCGTAGTATATTGACCATAACAATTCAGAATAATCACTAACTTCATTTAGTAAATGCAGACTGAATAATAATAATGATATTATAATGATTACTCGTGAGGTTCGCCTTGACTGTCAACCTGACTGGCTTGGGAGATGCCTGGGGTTAGCAAAGCACACATCTGCGTTCTGGTGAGTCATGAGGGCGTGATCCTGGGGACTCCACCTGATCCCTGGCCCTTCCTCTCTGGCTCCACCCCTGACCTCTGTTTCCTGACTGCTGTGAGCTGCCAGGCTTTCCTCAGCCCGGGCCCTTCCACCACGCCCTTTCTGCTCAGAGCTACCAACCAAGGGCTGACACTCCTGAAAGCAAGGGAAAAAATGCAGCTGTCCTCCTGTAAGGTGCTGGGATCAGGCATCTGTCCCAGCAATGGGAAAGCTGACCAATGGAGCAAAGGAAGACCAGAGAAGTGGGGTGATTCCTGAGACTACTCCTGAGCATGTGACTCAGAAGTCTTTGGCACTGGTTGCAAAAGGAGTTTGGAAATGAATGAAGATGTGTATCAGTCATCTGTGCCACTGCTAGGACAAAATACCAATACCCATGACTTAAAGGAGGAGAGCTTTGCTTGGCTCACAGTTTCCAGTGGGTTCAGTCCACTGTGGGCTGACTCCAGGGCAGAAGCGGCACAGTGGAAGGGCATGGTAGAGGAAAGTGTAGCCATGGCAGCAAGAAAGCAGGGAGTGAGAGGAAAAACGGAGAAGCTGGGTAAGAACACTCTTCTAAGTCACACCCCAGATCCCCACCCAACGTGGCCCCACCTCCAACAGCAAATTCAGCTGCTAACTGAACTCCACAGGGATGAAAGCGATAGAATGCTACATTCAAACACTCCCATGTTATCAATTCAGTAAGAAAGGAACTTACTCTTTCAGCCCAGCCTCCGCACTATTTCCAGATATATCTGAACCAAGAGAAATGCCAGCAGGAGACTGTCGTCCAGTGAAACCAGATGAAGAGAAGGAGAGTCCATATGGCTCAAAGTTGAGAACTAGAATTTTAAAACAATAACAGAGGTTCGTATTTAAAACAAAGCAAAAACGCAAAACTTACCAGTCCATTCACTACTAAAGTAACTGAAGACTGGAATTCACTCACAATCCTTAAACTGTAAGGGGCTTTGGTAATAAAACTTATTACAATATTTATGGCAATAATCTCTACATAATAACACAGCTACCCTTTACTGAATACATATAATATCTTCGTATGTTAGGTGACAGAGACAAAATGTCCTTCATTCCTATCTCTTTATTTCCCTTAGAAGCTTAAAAGAATTTAAGTGAAAAAGATAACTGATACACTAGGTCTACTGAAAAGTAGCTGCACGCACACAAAAATATGCTAATGAGTTATATATACATAAATGAAAGGATAGCTATGTTTTGCTTAACAAGATAATTCTTAGGCATATTCTTGCACCAGACAATCTGACGGAGCCTTCAATGTGAAATCTCCCTTCCTGGCAAAAAACAAGGTCTAGGGGCCGGGGATTTAGCTCAGTGGTTTTGCTGCCTGCTGCACAAGCGCAAGGACCCGAGTTCGATCCCCAGTACCAAAAAAAAAACAAGGTCTAGCAAGTGCAAGGGCCTGAGTTCAATCCCCAGTTCCACCAAAAAACAAGGTTTACTCGAGTTCTGATTCTTTTAAACCTGTATGATCTAAATGAATTCAATCAGAGCCATGAAAATGCACAGTTATTATGGCAGAGCAGATGCCAAAATCCATTCTCATTTTCTAAGTAACAGAACCTTCATCTTTATTGTTCTTTTAAGGTACTGAGGATTGAACCTAGGGCCTTCACATTGAGCTACATCCCCGGTCCTTTTCATTTTTTATTTTTACCCACGGTCTTGCTAGGTTGTGAAGTTGCCTGGACTGGTCCCAAACTTGCAATCCTCCTGCCTCAGCCTCCCAGAGTGCTGGGATTACAACTGTGCACCAAGAGGCTTGGCAGAACCTTCACTTCTTGGCTAGGAACATGGCCAGCCAGAAAGGAGACACTTCCAGACTTCTTTGCCAGGTAACTGGAGTTCTGGCCAGTGAAGTTCTGCACACATTTTGTGTGCAACTTTAGGAGGAGGCCTCCCAAGGGAACACAACCTCTTCTCCACATCTACCTTTCCTGCTGGCTACAGGGCAAGCTGGGAAGGAACAGCAGACATCTGGGACTAGGAATGAAAGAGCAAAGACACCTGAACAGCGAGAGAGGTGGAGTCCGGGTTTGTCTTCATCACCAGCCCTGGGCTTCCTACTGCTCTATCTCTTCAAGGGAAGAGGGCAAAAACTCTCTATGCATATAAGGCCTCATGGTGGTTATTCTAGTTTTGTTTTTTTGGTACCGGAGATCGAACTCAGGACCTTGTGCTTGCAAGGCAGGCAACAGAACCACTGAGCTAAATCCCCAGCCCCTTGCTGGTTATTCTTTTTAACATTCTATTAGCTAAACCTAATCCCAACTGGCAAATTTATCTTTTGGGACTCTAGATAATAATAAAAAGAGCCTTCTTAAATCATAAAAAGTGTCTTGGAAAATATGTCAATCTCTGAAATTAGTATCCACATTTTATAAATGCGGAGACTGTGGCAGAGTTTGCCATGAGCCACCCCGGATGACAAACACAGGAAAGGACAGCACCAGAGCAACCCAGGTGCTAGCTCCAGAGCTGTCCTCCCAACGGTGGGGTCAACATGGCCTCCTCCAGAGGAAATAGTGCCTCGTCAAAGCCCACTGAGGAACTGCCTGTACCTAAGTCAATGCTGCAGAAGGGAAAGCAATGTTCAGGAGGAAAAATGGGAGCTAAGTATCAGGAGAACTGAATTCCCAATGTAAGTCTGATGTTAATTAGGTCTAAAAACAAGAATTTAATTCCTTCATCCACAAAGTGAAGAGTTAGGACCAAAGCAAGTTTCCAGCTGCTGACCTGATAAACAGGATCGATCGGACTTGACAGACTCTTCCAAGAATATTTTATACGTAGACCCACGCTTTCAAAGATTCGGTAAAGAAGGTATTATGAATAGGTTTCAAAAATCTGCCTTATTAAAAAAAATTCTTCATGATTCTGATTCATAATCATATTTGGGAACTACCTGTCTAAACCTCTCTAAGGTCTTTCTCAGCAGGAATATTCTCTCCTATGCTTTTCATTGGCCTCTTTTTAATAACCTTTGTGATAGCCATGCAGCCTCTGCTTTAACACTTCAGCAACAGTGCCTTGCTCAAGGAATGTTTGAGCAAAGACCAAAGAGCAGAAAAATTCAAAATTAGAGGTAGAGAATCTGAACGTGGAAAGAAAAAAACTACATATGGAAAGAATCTAGAGAGCAGAGATAAAATTTCCATAATGGGACAAAAGAATTAAAGATAGTCATCTAAGGAAGGCCTGGAAAAACTCAGGTTGAGAATTAAATCCAAATCATGTAACTTTCACTTTTTAGTGAAAATTGCCTCTGCGATCCATGCAATGATGAATGACTAAAAGGACTAAAGATTGTGAGGAGTTAACTCAGTGTGCATGTGAGGGAGCAGGAGAAGAATGGACTGCGGGAAGAGGATGAGAAGAAAGGCCGTTGCATACACAGAAGTGAGCCAGACGAAGAATGGGGCCAGGGCAGCTCTGGCAGAAGAGAATGCCTGAGCTAGACTGGGGGCGAGGTGAGCCCACCCCGAGGCTGGAGTTACCGAAGTACAATACATATTTGGGGTCGCGAGCACAGGCAACCAACACTAAGCCATCTGTACCCTCATTATTCCAGGGGCCTGGCTTATACGGACACTCCTTTAATTTACTTTGCAATTCTTTTATACCTTGACTCATTTGGCTGTACTTCTCTGACCATTCCTGGCCATTATTTAATTTTTTTTCTCTGTAAACAAACATTTTAATATGCAGTAATTAATTACATCTGCCACTACCCTCCTCTCGTTCATCCTTCTTCAGCTCTTCTTCCGCTCACCCTAGACTAACCTCCTTCTCCACAATGGGGCCTGAACACCAGGCAGGGCCCCCTCAGCCCATCTTCCCAGACTTCGCCCCCACTATCAGTTGCAGGTGCTCACATCTGCCAAGCAGCTCCGCAGCTTTCTGTTCCATTTTCTGTCTCTCGAATGCCCGTCTGTCTTCCTGGCACTTTTTTTTTTTTTTTTGTCTCTAGTTCTCCTTGCCTGGATCTCCCTCCCCAGGGACACATTCAGGAGAGAGAGACTCTGCCCCAGGTGGCTGGACACACTCCTCCAGGGCCAGAACCAGGCCACTGACAGGGATGTTTCAGGGACCCTTTCCTCCCTGGCCTAAGAGCTCCCGGGGGTCCTTCCCAGCAGTCCCTCTTCCTGTCCCACTCTCAGCCCCCGCAGCAGCTCAGTGTGAAAGCCACAGAGGAGACACGGTGCCCAGGTCAGCACACCTGCCTGTGCCACAGTCACTATTCTCCAGACCCGGGGTGGCAGGTGGACCCCCGAGCCTCCGCCCTGCCGCCTCTTCAGCGCAGTGGGCACCTGGGTGGCCCTCAGCGCGTGGTGTGAGCAGAACCTTTCTGGGAACCCTGGCACACACGAGTCGGAGCAGCCAGGAGCCGAGTCCGGGCGGCACCGGAGGACGGGGACCCATTATTTAATTTTAAGTGTTTAAGTTATTTAAATTATTTAATTATTGTGTTTTACTCTTTTATTTTTGCAGTAATGCAAAATGGAGCAGTCACTATGCAAAACAGTATGCAGATTCTTTAGAAAAACTAAAAACAGAACTATTATATGACCCAGCAATCCTACTTCCAGATATTTATCCAAAAGCACTGAAAGCAGGTGCTACAGAGGTATCAGCATTTCCATGTTCATTGCAGCACTATTCACAATGGCCAGCAGCCCAGATATGAACACAAAGTATCCATCAACCAAGGAATGGGAAAGAAAATGTGGTGTTTACATATAAAGAAATACTGTTCAGCCTGAAAAGGAGAGAAATTCTGCAATATGTGATGACATGGATGAAACCTGAGGCTATTATGCTAAGTGAAATAAGCCAGTCACACAAAGACATATATGGAATGATTCCACTTAAAAGCCTATCTAGGTACAGCGCTAAGTCCTGAGTTCGATCCCCGGTACCAAAAAAAGAAAGAGTATCTAAGATGGTCAAATCCACAAATCTGAAGAGTGGAAATGTGGGAAACCATTATGGTTTGGATCTAGAATGTACCCCAAAAGTCTCTGTTCAGAATGGGGCTTCTGGAAGGGGACTGGGTCTTGGGGGTGCTATGCTCATCAGCGGAGTGACCCATGTGGGGCCAGGTTGGAGGAGATGTCATTGGGGTGCCTATGGATGGTGCCTCCCCCTCCCCACCTCCTCCATTTCCACTCTGCTTCTTGGCTGCCATGAAGCAAGGAGCTCTCCCCCACCAGGCCCTTCCATCATCCTGGTTCTTCCTTGGAGTCAGCCATGCATGGACTGAAAACCCCAAACCATGAGTCAAATTAAATCTCTCTTCCTTTAAGTTGTGGGTGTTGGATATTTTGTTCCAGTGACTGGAAAGCTGACTAAAAAGGCTGTATAACATCGTACCCATAAAGCAACAATAATGTACTATACACTTAAAAATGTGGTAGGGTGGATCTCATGTTGTATTCTTACCAAAATAAAATTTAAAATAATTTTTTTAATGTAGAAGTCTAAAAGAGCAAATACTTCTGCAAAAAGATAATATGAAGTCTATTAATAGGGTTTATCTTCTTGGTCTCATTTTAGAATCAACTATTTAATTATACTCATAACTAAATAACCCTAGCATAACCTAGAAAATAATATCTACCCAAAAAAATCATTGAATGATGAATAAATTTTAAAAAGATCTTTCAGTATCTAAATTTCAGTACTGACATTCTGAACTCCAAAACATAATATTCACTGCTTTCCCTTCATTCATATGCACATTTCTCCTACGCACCATCCAAATAACTTAATGATTGCATCTTTACCAAAACCATGACAGAAGTTTTTCCCTTACAGGTGTAAAGTTATTCTTTCCTTTCTTAGCTTTTCCTAACCTCACTCACCAGTATTTTGTTGGAAGTTCCCTCATACACTTACATGTAAGATTGCTCAGAATGAAAATGTAACTCACTAGTCCACAGTAATCAGTTTTTTCCTGGAAACTTCTACTGGTGAGCTCACACTTCTGTGTGCCGCCCCCTCCCCCAAGAACCAGCATCACTTTCCCTTCCAGTTCTGTCAAAGCTCCAGGAGGGTGCTCAGATCTCAAGCATTTATTTATGTGCAGACCTTGGCTTCGGAAGACTTCAAAGCTAACTATTTTATTTCTGAGTATCTGAAAACCTAGTCAGGGTAAGCAAATCACAAGCAGTTTTAAAGTGGGCTAATAAAATATAAATGTACTTAGTCATTTACTTACGTGACTGCACTATCAATTGCATAAAAATTATGCCCTCATAATCTAGCTTATTATAGACCCTTAAAAAATACCTTTTTCCTGAGAAAGCTTTTCCTCCTGGCGTTGGTGGTGAGGTTTATAAGGTGCTGCCCCCTGGCTGAGTCCTTCAGCCACATAACCATCCAGAAAAGATAAGGAAGCATCTACCTATATTAAAATTAGGTGAAAATTAGGAATTCAAAAGTTCACTCTAAGCAGCAGACTATATTCACATAAATAATTTCAGCCCATACACCCTTAAACAAAATTCTAAGGTAAAAACAGAAGCCCCAATTCTAAAAAATGCTACCCAACTCTCTAGCTTTCTGTAACACTGATACTCAGATCACTAAGCTAAGACCCTGTAAGGTACACATTCTGCACAGCAGAATGTACCTGTGACACCTAACATTGCTGGGGCATCACAGCAGTGGTCAACCTCTCAGGAGAGCAGGCACACACACTGTGAACTAGGGTGACTGGACTGGTTTTCTGCTCCTGAGCGAAGGGCTGGTGCCTTCTGTGCTCAGGGGAGAACCCACTCCTGTGCCCTTCGGTTTCCAGAGCTCGCCTGTTGCTTGGCTTGTGGCCCCATTGCACAGGGAGGCTTGTGGCCCACCTTTGTTCTTGTGGTCATTTTGATTCTTCTCTCCAATCTTAGTGATCACATCACAACTGTCTAGACAGCCTGGAATAACCTCCCGGCCACAAAACATTTAACATTATCCCATCTACAACATTTTAACACTTAAGGTGACATGTGTGTAGTCTCCAGGGATTAAGAACTGGGCATCTTTGAGAAGCCTTTATTTGGTTTCCTGTAGTACCTTAATTATCCTACTCCTTTCCATCTAAAAATGCTTTTTCACAAATTGATGGAAAATTAATTTCTGCAAGAGTAAAAAGGTGTAAGAGGTAATTTTCTAAGTGAAAAGATAAAGAAGTGATAAAGAGAAACAAAGAGTGAAGGAAAAAGGAGAAAGGGTGGGGAGATAAACACAATGTATTCAAAGGGAGAGAGCAGAGATGAGCTCAGTAACCAGAGCCTCGCTTCTCCCACTTTGGCCAGAAGCAGGAGCAGCTCAGATGGTTTACAGCAACAAGTAATTCTCAAAAACAGAGCGGCACCTCACACTCCGAATTTGGAAGGGGTCAGCTTCAACGCAATTCTGAGGAGATGAGGTTACGTCATCATCGTGATTATTTTTACTGGGGAAGGGAAGTGCAGAAGCTGCTATGAACAGCCCGGAGTAGCACATGCACAGCATGTCACTATTCTGACGAGCACATCTAGAAGGCCCACTGAATGCTAAAGCAAGGCCTCCACCCCCGAGAGCTGCTACAGGAAATAAAGAACAAGTGTTCAAAACAAACACAAGACACGAAAACCTGAGTAAACATTAGTGGGGATATCATCCATCCTCTTGTCTTTCCCAAATGTAATAGATCTAACACATAAAAATTTGAACAAATTTGTTTTCCCTTTGGAAGTTTTCTAATTTATACCAATGGTTGCTTAAAGTACACAGGAGAACCAAAGGTGAGTGATCAGATTCAAGCAGTAATGAATTTAGACAGCCGAAGGACACAATGTGGAGGACCGCTTTTTAAATATTCTCAAAGAAAGTAAAAGTGCGAGCAGGATGTGGTGGCTCACACCTGTAATCACAGCACTCTGGGGGGCTGAGATGAAGGGTCATAAATTCGAGCAGTCTGGGAATTTAGAGATCAGCTCAAAATAAAAAATTAAGAAGGGGGACCGGGGATTTAGCTCAGTGATTCCACCGCCTGCCTTGAAAGCGCAAGGTCCTGAGTTTGATCCCCGGTACCAAAAAAAGAAAAATTAAAAAGGGGCTAAGAATGTAGCTCAGTGCAAAGACTCTGGGTTCAATCCCCAATATTGAAAGAAAAGCAAGGAAGGAGAAAAAGGAAATAGATTATGACTGACAGGATTTCAAAGGTGACAAATTCCTAAATATTGTGAGATAATAAATTATTAAAATAATTATTTAATAATCCCTAAATCATTAAAAGAGATCACTACAAGATATAAATATCTTGACTGCAGTTCCCCAGAAGAGATTTCTTCTGCTCCTGACAATCTGGAATCAGTACTGAATGGAAGCTCTCAAATTCTCTTTCCTACTAATATGAGAAAAACAACTGTTAACGTTCTCCTTAAGCGCCACACAAACTATATTTTGATATATTCCTCATATACCACAAATGAAAGAATAACTCCCTATGTTTAGACAAGACAACTTTGAGAACAATGCAACACAGATATCTTACCACCATGTCTTCGCAGCTCTTATTGACTGGAAGCAAGCTCTTCATAACTTCTACATTCTCACGCAAATGCTTTAATTCAAATGTGTGCTGTCTTATGCAGGTATCCAAGGATACGGTAAACTCCTGGATTACTCTCTCCACTGTATCAGAAGCCTGTGCTTGAGCTGTCAACTTGGTCACTGCAGCAATCAACCAGGCTTTCGTTTCTGAAGAAATGGAGTCACTCATAAGTAACTTATAGAGCCTCTTTATAACGTCCTCTGGCTTTTCTGTATCTAAGAGGTAAGAATACTCTCCTAACACCTAGGAATAAAACAAAAAAAAAGTATTACATAATTACACAAGTAAACTATACTCAGAAACCCAAGTGTTACTGTTAGAGTGAAATTAATCTAGACTAAACATACTCATAGTGCAGAAATTATTAAAGAAAAAATTCTAGATTTTAGGTTCAAAATAATACCAAGAATTATATGTTCAATACAAAAGAACTGGAAATCAATATAAAAAGATTTTCCACATATTTGTCATTAACAACACATAAAGTAAAAATACCATTAGAAGTTAGTTTTCTTTTGAACTTTCTCTTTTTTTTTTTTTCCTTCTTTTTTTGAGATAGGGTCTTGCTATGTAGTTCAGGCTGGACTTGAACTCACTATGTAGCCCACGCTGGCCTCAAACTCATGGCGATCCTCCCGCCTCAGCCTCCTGAGTGCACCACACCCAGATCTTTGGAACTTTTATAGTGAATTGTTGGTTTACAAGCACTTTTACATTCTGTTATTAGTTTCCAGCAAGAGTTTAAACAAGCAGTTCTCACATGCTTGGATGCATAAGAATAACCTGTGGTATTTCATAAAACAGATTTCTACCCAGGCCTGGTGATGCACACTTATAATGCCAGCAATTCTGCAATTCTGGAGGCTGAGGCAAGAAGATCACAAGTTCAAGCCCCGCCTGGGTAACTCAGTGACTCAGCAAGTTCCTGTTTCAAACGGGCCAGGACTCAGGGTGTGAGAACCCTGGGTTTAATCACCAGATTACCAGAAATAAAGGGAAAAAACCCTACAGAGAGATTTCCAGTCTCTTTCCTCAGATATCCTGTTAGGGTAGCTTCGATGGGGACTGAGGATGCACATTTTGAGCAAGCACCAGTGGTTCTGATGCAGGTGGTCCACAGAACAGACCATGAGAAACACTGATCTGCATTACACACCCTTTTCCTCATGTCTCCCTTACATAGGTGACACACAATTCTACTGGCCTAAGAATCATTTACAGAGCGATAATTATGGGGTGTAAACCTTTTCTAAATGACATATATGGACTATCTTCATGTCTTTGGTATAATACTGGCACCAGCAAGAAAAGAGAGAGGCAAAGGAAAACTTATAGCTAGTAAAAGAATGGGAGAGAAGTCAACAGGACTAAGTAACACCAATCCTTAAGCAGTATGATAACTAGAGCTGTGCACAGTGACCTGTGACCTGTGGCCCAGCCTGGAAGCGGTTCTTCACCAGGGAAGCTCCAGAGAAGACAACAGCCCCCACTGACACCCTAACTGCAACCCTGGGAAACTGAAGCAGGAGAAGCCAGCTAAGCCAGGCCCGGAGTCCTGACTTGCCACTAGGTTTGTGGTAGCACTGTTAGGCAGCAAAAGAAAATTAACACAGTACAGATATGGAAACACTCACATATTCAAACACAGACTCACATAAAAAACACGATAAACAATGCAAACATAAATAGAGACCCTGATAAACACCCACTTGAGTGAGCTGGAGAGAGAAAGGACAAACAATCAAGCAACAAGGGTAACCACAGGGACATCAAACTGACAGCTCAAAGAATTAGCTGAGTAGAATTGAATGATTTTTGGAAGAGGTATGGTAATATTTGGTTTTTTTTAAAGTAGTTATAAAGCTGTATGATATGATGTACTTTACTCACCCAACTCATAACTTGAAGAAATTTCTGTGGATAAAATACATTTTCCATATCTAATAAACTGAGATAAGACTGAACTGCATAGAGTCTTAACTGCTGCTCTTCCATCTCATCATCAAAACCTACAAATCAATTGATACACCATTTTAATTTCCACTAAATTCCCTAAGGGCTCTGTAATAAACAACACTTAACTTAAAAATCTTTACCAACCTTCTGCTAGCAGTCTCAGGAAGTTACTGGGGATATCAGGGTGCATTACATCTCCCCCTACTGAAAACACAGCATTCATTGTCTGAATAAACCACACATTATCTGGAGCATATGTGTCCACGGTGTTAAGAACAAGCACACTTCCAAATCCCACTTATTAAAATCATCCTTTCTGCAGCTACCTTTTAAAAACAACCACAATCCATTCTGGTGTAGCACTGTTATCTTTAACCTCTGTTATCCAATGTTCTATATTCCAGTTTTATGTAAAATGGATGTTCAATGAAAGTTTGTTTTATAAACTGAGTTTATATCACTTTCTCTAGCACCAGGCTTACCCATAGTAAGCATCCTATTCATAAATGCAAAATAATTGAAAGAAATGAGCCAGCTATCTAGGGAATAAATAAATAATGGGAAAATGCTATGGACTTCAGGAAGGGGAAAGGCTGTAGTGTGACCATCTGAACAAGCAATTAACTTCTACCATGCTCCATAGCAGCTCAAAGACTCATAATTCTTCTGGGCCAGAACTACAGCACTGTCTTGGGCAAAACCACACTTCAGCAACTCCCAAGATTCTGTGAATAACATTACCCACTCACTCTTTTGTAGAATTAAATGACAGACATCTTTAAAATAATGTAATACCCTTGAAAGCTGTAAGTGACTCAGTCTCTTTAAAAGAAAATAAGGGTGAAGAAAAGTAAATTGCAAAATGACTCCGCAACTGCTTGACAGTGGCAACCACTAGGACAAACAACGTCTCAAAGGATGCATTTTAGGCCCCTTCCTCCATCCACTCCTTCCTTTCCCCACAAGAACTTCTACTCAGAAAAGAAACTTGAGCAGGCGAAGAGGAACTGCAGAGTGGAGTATGGCCTGGTGGCAGTGTGCCTAGCACGTGTGTGCGTGAGGTCCGAGGTTCAAGCCCCACCACTCGCCACCCCCAACACAGAAAGGAAGAGGAACTGGGGAGAGGTTTCCACTGTTTTCCTGTTGACCTCTGAACACACACACACGCACACACACAGGAACAAAGCCATCCCCCAGGAAGTCTACACAAATTCCTATACTGGACAATTAAAGGCTTAAAACTCAAGAATGCAAGTTACTGCTGGGTCTCTGAATGCACCTGTAACACCTACACCAATCATTTTAGTCACCAGCTAATCGAGGGTGTTTCGTGACGCATGTACCAAGCAAAGGATATTTCTCAGCCAGCTCAGCTATTTTGCCAACTAAGTTGACAATGATATATTCTTCTTTGCTCTGATGTAAATATTCAAGCATTTTCTGGACAATAACTGTGACATTCTGTGAATTTGTAATTCTGTAAAGAAGTTCCAGAGTCTATTTGAGGAAGAGAAATAAAAACAGTATTATGAAACTATGAATGATAACACCAAAAACTACAATAACATATTTGTTTATAATACAATTGATTATTCTATTTGTATGTAGAGCTACTGGGCAGTCAGTTAACAAGGGATCAAGAAATGCAAACTGGGGATTTAGCTCAGTGGCGCCACTGCCTGCCTCTTAACTGCAAGGGCCTGCCTGAGTTTGATTCCAGTACCAAAAAAAAAAAAAAAAAAAGAAATGGAAATTGTAACTAAAAAGAGCCAAAGGAAAGTAATGTTGCCAAAAAGTAAATTGTAGCTGGGCATGGTGACTCATGCCTGTAATACCAGTACTTAGGAGGCTGAGGCAGAAGGATCTCTAGAGTTCAAGGCCAGCCTGAGGTACACAGGAAGATCCTGCCAGAAAGAAGAAAAAGAAGGAGGAAAGAAGGGGAGAGAGAGAAAGAGAAAGGAAGAGAAAGAAACAGAAACAGAAAACGGAAAAGAAAAAGAAAAAGAAAGGAGGGAGGAGATGAATTTGAAAGTCTAAATATGAGATTCCCATTGATAGAATGTTCAGGCTAAAAAAAATTAATGGACTCATACAAATAACTGGATGCAACCTCTCTAACTGTAATTTAAAGACATTCCTGTGAACACTGGAAGTACTTTTCAGAAAAGTTACTTAAACTTACTAGAAATAATCATATGCAAAATTAAATACACACACACAGGCCACCTATAATCTCTCTCCAAAATACCAACAAAAAGTTTACAGATTTTAACATTTCACACACACCATTCAAAATACCAATTTACCTCTCTTTTAATAATGGGATCGGGATGGTCTAAGCACTCAATTATTGTCATCTGGTGCTGAAGAGCCAGACTGGGGTCCTGTTGGACAACACAGGTAAGAGCTTTCAGTCCTAGAAACAAAGATCACATTATGGGAAATGATTTGAAGCAAGTGCTCAGCAAATTTCAACAGCTCTCTACAACTTCCATCAAAAGGACCCATCACCTTACCTAAATATTTCAGATTTATTTTAGGTGACAGAACAAATTTTCCAATGCATTTGGCAGCCTTCTCAAGTAATTCTGACTTGGGATAAATAGAATAAACTGTATGCACACATTCAAATAGAATAGCTAGAAAAAAACAGAAAAATGGCACAATAAAAATATATTCACGGAGAACTTAAAGCAAATTAATTGGAAGATCAGTTTTAGTCAAAAATCTTATTTACAGAAAATTTTCAAAGAAAAAAACCTCTACTCTTTCTAGCCTTGTACAGGTATTAGGAGTAAGTTACCCCAGATATAAAGGAAATGGCACTGCTAATATGTAAGAATGGTACGTTCAATCTGTGTACCAAATACTCTACTGAACATCTCTTATGTGGCACACATGGCATTAGAACAATGGGTAGAGCAGTGAGCAAAACTGACAAAACCCTACCCTTGAGGAGCTCACATTCTGATGAGCAGCAGGACTTCCCAGCACTCCTCTGATGCTTTAAAATAGTTTATTCTCAAGTCATTTCTACCACTTAGACACAGAAATTATGTACGTAGTTTACTTCAATGTGATCATTTTAGGATGCTCTACAATTATTTCAAGAAGAGGGTCACTATTCAAAAGTCTTCAAGCTAGTTACTTAAAACGAATCTCAAATGTATAAAAGAGTCTACTGTACATTTTGATAGTGTTCAAGTTTTACTTTCAGATACAGTCAAGAGTCTGGTAACTATGGTGATAAAAGTGGACACTAACATTTTTTCAAATTCTTTTTGGTTTGTTTAGTACTGGGGATTGAGCTCCGGTCCTTGCGCTTGCGAGGCAGGTGGCGGAACCACTGAGCTAAATCCCCGGCCCTTTTCAAGTTCTTTTAAAGAGCATGAGTTGAGGAATGGGAGCTTTGCCTTAATGAAGAATCGCCGAGACATCAAGTCCTAGGGAACTGCAGCATCAGAAGTGAGACACACTGAAGACTTAGACTTCTACTACAAGGTGAAGAAGGTCAAGTGTCGAAAAAAATCACTCCTTCTCAATCTCCAAAATCTTAAAACATAGTAGCCAGACCTTTCTTTATGTGCAAGATCTATCCTGAATATTCAATTAGGCTACATTTTACACTGTGTTGCCTATCAAGTAATATACAATTTTGCAGAAAAAAAACTATATATCCTCTTCCATAAGAGAAGAAAAATAAATCAGGATCCCAGCTACTCTTTAAGAGGAAGCTGACTTTAATTACTGTAGATGGAACCTAAAGATAACTTTGTGAATTCAAATGATAAGCTATAAAATGTCTACACTCTGGGCTGTGAAAAAAGGTGACTTTCTAATTTCACAAACTAAACCAACTCCTTGGCCAACCCATTACCAGTAACTACCTACGGCAGGAATGAGCAAACTACCAAGTCCAGCCTTCAGTCTGTTTTTGTAAGCATATGAACTAAAATGGTTTTTATATTTTTAAAAGACTGTAAAAAAAGGAAACAAAGAAGAATATGCAACAGAAACCTATGTAATCTGGAAAACCTAAAATGTTTACTGACCTGGCCTACTATTTGAAAAAAGTTCCCCAAGTCCTAACAGTCCTAAATAAGATTAAAAGTGATAATGTTCTATTTTCCACCATTACTGACATTTTTATTTGCAGTCTCCTGACATTTACAGTTCTCCTGATATCAAACTTACTTTACTAAGAAAAAATTGTCATTACCCACCTAAAATCTATACTTTTGCCAGGTGTGGTGGCACATGGCTGGAATCCCAGCACTCAAGAGGCTGAGGCAGGAGGACTGCTGAGTTCAAAGCCAGCCTGGGCTGCATAGTGAGTTCAAGGCCAGCTTGAACTATATAGCAAGACCCTGTCTCAAAAAACAAAATAATTTAATCTATACTTTTATACTCACATTATTTCTGTGATGCTGATTTAGGAAAAATTACTAGTTCAGAAATAGTAATTATTTGTCTCCCTAGGCAAAATTTAGTTGAAAATGTAATGGACTTTAAAATTATTTTCCCACCTAGAGTTAAGTCTCTCTATCCTCCAGCTCTATAAAGATCTGAGTGGAAGTACATAATTGAAAGAGCAGCCATTCTGCTGCCCTTCTTTGCAGTGGTTAAAATATCAGTGCCTCTGAGTATTTCTGAACTCAGAAACACAACACGGAACTCTCTTCCCTGTTCAGTAGCAACCCAGGTCCTAATCCAAGTACTAAATAAAAATCACTTGATTAAAAAATAGTAATCCTCTAACATTCTTGACTTTAGTTTTATCACTGACATCTGGCTTTTGATTATTTTCAGATGAGGTTCTTCAGACCCCCTCTTCAGACTGGACTGAAGTCAATCCCTGCCCCAGGGCGTTGGAAGCGGGGTTCTCACTCTGCCCCTCTGACACTGAGGGTGGAGAGTCTGGGTCATGTGGTGGGAGGGCGGGCTCCGCTGACACTGTCCTCCTGATCAGTGCTGCTTCTCTCAGCAGAGACCGCCCTGCTCACTCCTGCCCGTGCACGAGACATCAGGCTTCTCACCTGGCCGCCCAACACTGACACTGAAGGGGGCAGCTCCTCGAGGGCCTCCCACCCCCAGCACAGTGCCGGGAACAAGGACTTGGGGTACTTGCCTCCTGAGGATGGGCATCCCAGCTCTCCTGGGAATTCTTTTTCTGAAGTGGTAGTCAGCAAGCCTGCAAGCTTACTCTACAGGGTGGTTAGGGTCCTTTTCTCAGCCCCAGAGACCCTTAAACCCAGCCAGGTAACAAGACATCTTCTTCTTGTACCAGGAATCGAACTGAGGACCTTGCACTTGCCAGGTGGATGTGGCTCTGCTGAGCTATGTCCTCGGCCCACAAGATGTCTTCTATCATACTGCTTTCGAAGAAAGCCTCCCTTCTTCTCCCCTCACCTAGAACTAGCTGCCACCTCCTCCCACAGTGCCCTATAATTCTTGGGTAACATTCACAATGCCGCCACTCTGTAAACCCAATGATAGCACTGTTTTATTCACAGCTGCATTCCAAGCACCTGGTGCAGGGCCTGACAAATAACCGAAACTTAATAATCACTTGACAAGTAGTTGACTGATTTTAAAAACTGTTTTCAAATAGAAACTTTACAAAATGTGAAACAAACTTACTGAGGAATCTTCACAGTCAATTAGATACTTGATAAATGTTTTCAATAAAGCAACAATTATAAAAATGAATTTAGGTCATTTAGAAAACTCCACACTTTCAAATTACTACTATTATTCAGTGCTTATATTATCTCAAAGAATCATCTTAAAATTATCCATAAAATTCTATTGGAATTTACAGTATTCTAACACAGGTTTAGCTTCAATACCAAAAACAGCATTAGCCATTGGAGTAGCACATACATGTTACCTACCATAAGTGACATTGTGATTTAACTCAGCTCTTCGTAAGGATTCATCAAGAACATCATACATTAATTCACTTGTCCTGTTTAAAAGATATTTTATTTGCAGTGGAATTATAGTATTTTAACCCTTATTACACAGTTTTTCAAACTTCTCTCTCTCTTTAAAACTGAGGATCTACAGAAGAGAAGTGAAAGAAATTCAATTTATGAAGTTATACAAATCTCACTTCTAAAAGATTTCATTTGCTCTTTTCAAGAGTTGAACTTCCTGTCCATCAAAGTTGACTGGTTAGTCCATGAGAAGACACACAAATGTCAAGCAACTCTTACCTGGTCCTTGTTTACAAACCAGGTTGTTATTTGATTGAATACACTATCTTTTACATTTTCTTTGCAATGAAATAGTTCTACCTGTTATTACAGTAATACTTCACATATCCAAATTACTCTAAACAGCATATTGTTTTTAATCAATTTGTTGTTTTAAAGATATTCAAATACTAGTTTTTCCCTATATAGCAACGCAGTTCTTCAGTAAGAAACTTAACTTTTATTTATAAAAATAAAGAAATAAGCCAGGTGTGGTGGTACGTCCAGCACTTAAGGATGCTGAGAAAAGAGGATTGCCAAGTTTGAGCCCCATCTGAGTAGTTTAGTAACTCAGCAAGATCATGTCTCAAAAGTTAATTTAAAAAGGAATGGCAATATGGCTTAGTGCAAAGGGTTCAATCCTCACTCCCAACCAAATAAAAAAAGTATACAAACACACATACATAAGTATGTATGTGTGAAATTCACAGATTTCTACCAGTTATATGTCTTTATGTCCCTAATTACCGTAGGTATGGTAACTGGGCTGAGAGTGTTTAAAAAACAATGCAATGTTCATGGAGCTCTCGCACTCGCACTTTCCAAGCCTCTAAGTCTTCTCCAAGAGGTCAATGTGAAAAATACTGCTTCTCAGATTTCTATATGTCTTACAAATTCAAAAAGCTCTAATGGGAAACAGCAACACAGGTTACACACAGTGGTCTTAGAGAAAAACCAGGCTGTAAAATAAAAATTCCAAAATAATCTGGGGCTGTATAAATTAGATAGCAGGAACATTACATCTCTTTCTGAAAAATTTCTCTTCTTTTTCCCAATATAGAGCTAAAAAAATTAATCTTAAGTGTATTTACTTGCATTGTCTTGGCTGATGTATAAAATCCAAAAATAAGAATCCACAACTGTATTCTAAAATCTCTCATTTTATCGTGTAAGCATTTCTTCCACAAGAGCAGACATTACCAATCCTTCCCCCAAAATTTGGTAATGCTAAACCGAGATTATACTGTAGTTTCTCAATTTCAAAAGCCGCTGTCTGGCCTAAGAGTCATAATTAACCACATGAAATGCGGAAGCATTTGTGGACATGACTGAGTCAAATGCTAATAACCTAAAAAGTGTAATGCTATAAAACACAAGAAAATAAGCAAGGGTAGAAAAGGCTTTTCTGGGAATTGTGTCTTTCAAATAAATGCTTTAAATATGTTATAAAATGCAATTTTTACTTTGCCACACTGAGCTAATCATGCCTTAAGAATTCTAAAATTCCTGTTAACATAAAATCTCATTAGACTTGGGGCAGCAAAGGAGAAAGCACCCTGGTGGCCTGTGACATTCACAGGGTTCCAGCCTTCGCTCATTCGACGGGGCCTAGTTACCACTCAGCACTCCGAAGGGGAGCTCTCCTCATGCATCTCTGTCTACATTCTCCAAATCCCAGGAAGAAGGGAAGAGAAAGCTTCCTGAATTTAGTGAGCAAATTCAACTTATGGCATTATGTCTTTTTTGGGTTTTTTTTTTTGGTACCAGGGATCGAACTTGGGACCTTGCACTTGCAAGGCAGGCGGCAGAACCACTGAGCTAAATCCCCGGCCCCATTAAGTCTTTTTTAAACAAAGAAGGTATAACGCATACTAATATGAAATTAGTGGTTGTAAAACAGAATTCTAATGACCTTCAACTACAGTTCCACATTAGGACTCGCTGGAGATCCATAAAATAAAACATACTGAAACCAAACATGTCTAACATGTTTCTGCTCCATCCTCTCCTTTCACTCTAGGTTTCCATCAGGGGTTGAGCTTTGTAAACATTGAAAACACAAAAGCAAATCACCTAACACAGTACCATGAAGCGACAAGGTCCAGTTAGCACTGACCAGGTGCTCACAGGAAGCCTTTCTAGGGAACAGCAGGAGGACAGCCCGCTGCAAGGTGAGGCTAGCAGACCAGAATATGCACATGCTCTGCTGCCTGAGAGGAAGCCATGTCCATTCAGCTCACACAACTGATGAAAATGGTTTCCTGAGACAGAAACACATCAGGAGATCCAGCCAGGGCCCTTGTTCTCAAAGGAGTTAAAATGTAATCGATCTTGCTCACATACAGTTCAGGAAAAACAGAGGTATGTGTACATGCACATAGGAAGAGAGAATGATGAAATGAGTGCAAATAACTGACGGTCAAGGAGCAGGGTGTAAGGGACCTTCCTGGTATTGTTCTAGGGACCACAAAAGTTTATAAGTTTGAAAAGGTATGGCAAAATTTACAGTTACCAAAAATACATATGGTTGGGAAGATATCCTAAAAAGTCTAATATGGCCGGGGATTTAGCTCAGTGGTTTCGCTGCCTGCTGAGCAAGCGCAAGGACCAGAGTTCGATCCCCAGTACCAAAAAAAAAAAAAAAAAAAAAGTCTAACACAAGTCATGGACTAAGAGTGATCCAAGGTAAACGGATTCAAAAGTGAATTCACAAGCAACCAGGGAGAGCTGGCAGCCACCTGGCCAGGCCCTTGCTTTTGGAGAGTGCAGGCTAAGAGGCATTCTGACATTTTTTAATGATTAGAAAAAAATCAAAAGGACACCATTTTAGGACACGTGGAGACTATGAAATTCAAGTTCTCGTGTCCATAAAGTTTCTGGAACACAGCCATGCTCATTAATTTACGTACTCTCCACAGCCGCTTTCAACTGCAAGGGCAGAGCTGAGGGCTACACCAGACAACGAGTGGCCCACAAAGCCTCAGGCAGTCACTCGCTGGCCCTCTGCAGAAAGTGTCCCAACTTCTAGAGGACATGAAGAAAGCGTCACGGTGAGGATTGCCTGGATAGGCAGAGCCAGGATGATCCCCAGCAACCTAAGAAATTACATACTTCTCACACAGGTCTACTTAGCATAAAGCCCAGTAGGATCTGGTTTATCATGAACCTCTTGGTGACTAAAGCCTAAGGCTACCATATGCGCTTTAGGTGACTTACTTAGAATAGTTTACCTTTGGTCGTCTTTTCCTAGAAGTCCTAGTATTCTTAAGAGCTGAATTTGTAACCATGGTGCTGGCACGCTGTGATAATTGAAATCTACTGGGAGCTTTCCTCCAACTACTTGCTTTAAGATTGTTACAAAACTCCCAGTCAGGTCTTTATATCCAGAGGAATTCTCCTACATCCAAAAAAAAAAAAAAAAAAAAAAGCAACTTTCTGTGAATGTTTTCTCAAATATTAAACACGCCTAGCTGAAATGCCACATAGAACCTAGTAACTTAAAACATGCTCACTTTGAAGTTTATATTCACATTTAACGAAACAGTGTTTAGTATGTATCATTTCTTCCATGATGAAACTCCTCTGGCTGCCCAATCCAAAAGCTGATTCATCTCCAGAAACGCCTCCTACTCCCTACTTTTTCCTAGTTTAATCACATTTCAAAAGTTCTTATAATTACATCTTGGAACCCTTAATAGCCAATATTGGCATTTAAGCAAAAACTAAAAAGCACTGGCATACTGAAAGGGGCCAGTAATACCACTCCTTTGGATGAAAATCAAGGCTTGCTCACAATCTTTGTACCCTGTGTACAGCAGGAGTTAAACTCATTCTCAGGTGAGGGGCACAGCCGAGACTGTGTAAATGTTCAAAGCCCCCAAATCAGTGAGCTGTCAGTCAAGAATTAATTACTCACACAGTATGTACATACATCTCTATTTTTGAATGAGAGTGCCTTGATTATCTATCTGACTAATCTCCTGGACTGGGAAAATTAAATATATCCTCCCTAAATGGATGTTAAGAGTCTTCATTGTAATTTTTATTATGTATCAAGGGCAAATTTTTAGAAGAGAAAAAACAGCACTTTCAAATTTTAGTAAATTGGGGCCAGGGATTTAGCTCAGTGGTTCCAGCGTCTGCCTCTCAAATTTTAGTAAATGTTAGAGGAAAATAAGATTTTATATACCATACTATTTTGGAACATACTGGCTAAAAGAGAAGACAAGCTTTGGTTCCGTAAGCGTAAGAGTTCAACAGCGTATTTCATTTTGTTACAGTGTTCATGAAATTACTCACAAAAACATACTTTTGAAAAGGTTTCACACAATACACTGAAAATAAATTAGAATAAAGCCACCATCACCATTTAGAGGAAATTTTTACCATACCATCTGACCCTTTTTCCTCATCTGCCACAGTACGGACAGACAGAGTCAGCACTGCAGTCTACACCTGGTGTGATTCCCCCCATTTCTACCAGTTATTATTCAAACCATGAGGCTATGTAAGAGAATCACTGCTTGAACAAGCACAAATCTGCCAACTTAAATCTCCTTCCAGAGCTACCCTTTTCTATATTTCTTTGGACACATGAAAAAATAGCCATTTTTAAAAGTCTTATTCTAGGGCCGGGGATTCAGCTCAGTGGTTTCGCTGCCTGCTGCGCAAGCCCAAGGACCCGAGTTCGATCCCTGGTACCAAAAAAGAAAAAAAAGTCTAATTCTGTAACATGCATGTAGCTCATGAAATCAAGAACTTAACAAAAATTACTATTAGAAAATCAATAATAGCATCAAATGTTAATTAAGCATTTAGTGAAATTTAATTCTATAATTGTATTTCTCTAATGGTATTCAGAGAAGTATCTGCTGCAATTTCCACCTTACCTTAATCATCCTAAGGTATATGTGCAAAGAAGCAGCCATAACCCCCACATCTCTGTCACAAAGCGCTTTCCGAAACTTAATGTGGATATGCTGTACTTGGTTAGGAGCAATGAGATGGAATTTGTACAGTGCCAGGACAGCTTTTCTTCGTATAATCTCCCTAAGGTCAAAAAATGAAATCTGAATCTCTAGACATTAGGTTTGAAGATTACAAGCCAGATGATTTAAAAAGGTCAGCTATAACCTTAATCTAAAAAGAAATAAAGGGCCAGGGATTTAGCTCAGTGGCACCGCACCTGCATTGCAAGCTCAAGGTCCTGAGTTCAATCCCAGTACAAAAAAAAGAAAGAGAATGATATATTTAATATGAATTTCTTTATTCTAATATACTAAACTATAAAAAGTAGTTATCTCTAGAAGGTAAGATCTCAAGAAACTTTAACTGCCCATGTTACAAATTCTCTAGTTATGGAACTTTTTAATAACATGCATGTATTACTTTTTTTTTTTTTGGTACAGGGGAGTGAACTCGGGACCTTGCGCTTGTGAGGCAGGCGGCGGTACCACTGAGCTAAATCCCCGGCCCGTACATGTATTACTTTTGAAAGCAGTTAAAACAAGATAAACAAATTTCTTAGTTTCTTAATTTAATTTTTTAAAATTTCATCACTAGAAACTGGGAAAGCATCAAAAGTAAGTTTAAAGCAGTAACAGGCAATCTCAGCTAGGAATATTAAACAGTCTCTTTATTAGTATTAAAATCTTTTTTGTATGATAGGAAAGCATCCTCTAAATACTCTGGAGATGAAGAGACACATAGAATAAAAAGAAGTTATGCCTCCCCTTGCCTAGTCTGTTTTTAAAACCTCAAAGTATATGAAGCAAAAACAAAGGGATACTATCTTACTTTTGTTTTTCTTTTCAGCATTGGGTACAAAGTCAGAGCATTCCACATGCTAGACAAACAGTCTAATGGCTAACCTCCCAGTCCTCCCTTTTGTAAAATAATTTTTTTAGACAGAGTCTCACTACATTGCCCAGGCTGACCTCTAACTCACAATTCTCCTGCCTCAGCCTCCTGAGTAGTTGCAGCTGGAATTAGTACTGGAGATTGAATTTAGGACCTTGCTCTTGTGAGGCAGGCGGCAGAACCACTGAGCTAAATCCCCGGCCCTCTATATTCTTGACAGAGTTTTCAATGAACTATATTTCTTGTATTCCCTCTCATGCCTATTTCTACATATCTGTACACATCTGTACATATTTCTACATACCTGTACATATTTGAAGACCAGTCTGGCAATGTTCAAAACAACAGGAAAACAATGCAAAAGTGAAGTATTTACTTTAGGATTCCTTAATATATATTTCATTTACTCAAAATCATACAATCTAAAAACTGAGAGGGCTGGGGATTTAGCTCAGTGGTTTTGCTGCCTGCTGCATAAGCACAAGGACCCGAGTTCAATCCCCAGTACCAAAAAAAAAAAGAAAGAAAAACTGAGGTCTTCAATGCAATACTTGATGTTCTACTAACGAATAGCTTTTTAAAGAAAAAAAAAAACAAAGAAGAAGAACAACAACAAAGAATAGCTTTTATAAAATTCAAACAAATGGTTACCTAGCTTCTACTAAATTCCATTAATAAGACAACTCACTACTTCTAAGCAAACTATGCCATGATGGAAAATTCTTTTCACATGAAAATAACAGCAGATTAGCAACAGACTTGCCATTAGTATTAACATCTTGATAAATGCAAACTACCTACCAATGTATTGTCTTTGGGCGTTAACCAGTATTAACTTTGGGAGAAAGTGGAGAGATCATAAAGAAATGAAGACAAACTTAGCCCAAGAACTTCTAGGCCTGGCCCTAAGTGGGGGGACGAACACAAGACATCAAGAGATGTAGATCTGGGCTCCAGGACTGAGAAGCTGCAACAGCCAAGGCTAAAAAGCCACGTCCAAGCCTGGTTTCACACCTCTGTGGTCCCCACCGGCTGACCCAGCAGAAGCTGCACGTGGCCACTACAGAAGTACAGTTTCAAAAAGCCTAACTCTAGCCAGGATTTAAATTACACTGGATGGGAAGCCATAAGGAAAAAAACTGAAAAGAGGCCTTTTAATTCTCAGAATGATTTCATACAAATGGTTGGTAAGTATGGTCACTACCAAAGAGTGGTGGGAAGGAGAAATGACATGAAAATATGCTGCTGCTATAATGAGGTCAACCTATAAATACCCATGAAAAGTTACTATTTCCAATAATTAATTGCCTATAATCATCCTCTGTTCTGAAAAGATCTGACATATAAAACATTATGAAATGTCTGGAAAACCTACAAGTTATTCTGTCATTCTTAGTAAATAGTATCATTTTAGCTATGGGATTCAAGGTCCAAAATTTCTAAAAGAATGCAAGTTATAAGACAACATTTTACAATCTATAACATTAAAAATACTGACTTCAAAAAAACAATACTGACTTCATGGAGCATATGAAATACAGAAATGTTGTGTGAGTAACAAACTCTTTATCAAGAATGTATGTGGCCAGGGATTTAGCTCAGTGGTTCCACTGCCTGTCTCACAAGCACAGGGTCCCAAGTTCAATGCCTGGTACCAAAAAAAAAAAAAAAAGGGAATGTATGTGTAACTAACATACTGTATGTAATCATAAAGGAAAATGACTACAAACTTTTTACTAAAAAGAGCTTTGTTAATATAAATTACAAGTGTGGTGAAAGTGTGTATTAAGTTGAACATCAGTGGAGTGTTAGTAATCTTATAAGGGCAGATTAGCAAAATACTAAAAGTTAATGTTTATTTGGATGTACTCTGCTGTGAATTAGAATTTGAACATTGTGTTTATTATACAAAAAGCATCTTCCTTTTACATGGAAGCTTCACATTCACAGCAATTACAATACCTTTACATGTTTTCTATTATTTTACTTTACTCTCAAAACAATTTTGGGAGAACCAACGAGCTCCAACCAACCCCACCACAGTCGAAAGAAAAACAGAACCACTGCTCATTAGTGGTAAAATTGGAAGAAAAGCCACAGATTCCAGACCCTGAGCCTCACTGTCTCTCAGTTTAACTAAAAAGCTGCCTGACATTTTCTAAACCCTCATAAAAATAAGAACACTTCTACTGGGGATTCCTGTGTTATACCTGGTAGGCAAAGAGTATTCTCAATTCTGGTAGCACTAAGGTAAAAGTCTAGAAATTTTCTAGTCTGTCTCTGTTTTGAAATATATGGTGCAGATACCTATGCTGAAAGAGTTTACTTACTTAGAATGTTGGAGTTTATCTTCTATCAGTGGAAGAACAGCTGGGATCATTTCTCGAGGGAAAATCTGGCTGACGATAGTAAGTGCCATACAAACTTCTACCAGGTTGGTGCTCTGCAGATCCTGGCATAATTATTAAGCAAAGAAGACATTCAGTGTAAATTCTGAAACTAGGGATGGCAAACTCGACATTGCAATGGTCCTACATACTTAGTAATTCTGTTCCAATTCTGTAATTAATTTGTACAGACTTATGTCACACTTTATAGGAACATCCCCTTCCTCTCATTTCCCTTAATAAAGTCAACAGATAAATATGGCCAAAAATCAACTGATACCAAAGGAAACTTTCATTTTGAAACTAGCCAAAGTAATCTCTTTATTATATACTTTAAATTTTCCAAACCAAGGGGGCATGGTGGTGCATGCCTTTAATTCAAGCACTCAGGAGGCTGAGGCAAAAGATTGCCATGCATTTCAGTCCAGCCTGGGCTGCACAGTGAGTTCAAGGCCAGCTTAAACTACATAGTGAGACCTTATCTCACAAAAAAAACAAACCAACAAACAAAAAAAGAGAAATTTCCAAACCAATGAAAAACCAATTTTATAACCTGGTATGGTGACCCATGCCTGTAATCCCAGCACTCAAGAGGCTGAGCTAGGAGGACTGCCAGAAGTACAAGGCCAGCCTGGGCTACACAATGAGTTCAAGGCCAGCCTGAATTACAGAGCAAGACCCTGTATCAAAAAAAACAATTTTATGAATTTTTCTTTTTTGGTACTGGGGATCGAACACAGGTCCTTGCACTTGCGAGGCAGGCAGCGGAACCACTGAGCTAAATCCCAGGCCCTTATGAATTTTTCTTAACAATGAGTGGAAATTTAAAAATAATTACAGAAGTCATACAACAGACTGCGTATGTTTATATGGACTCATATATACATATAGTTTATAAATCATTCTAATAGTACTTCAGAATATTTTTAAAGTTTGAAAAAAATTTAAACCATTAGTAACTTTAATACAGTATCCAACTTAAAATTCAGAAAATACTACACACATAGACTCTCAGGTATGTACGTAACCTACAAGATAAACATGAAAAAGCTCAACAATTCAATTGCACTTCATTTTTAATTCTATTACAAGTTTAGTAGGACAAAATTTTGAGAGTGCAGATTAAATTATTTTTATTACAATTGAATTACTCGATCATATCCTATATCCATTTATAATGACTTTTTGTATTTTAAAGATGTCAGCTATTCAGTTTATAACTCTGTCTCTTGAGATAGATCGGAGAGACAAAGACAGCAGCGTGGAAAGTGTACTTAAGAGGCTGGCAATCTGGGTTGTAATTCCAACTTGGGTTTTTAATGAAATGATAATACCATCAACAGGAGCAGGAGCATGGGCAGCAGCAGCAGCTGCTCATCACAGTGCCTCATACCACCCTCACAACTCTGTAAGTTCTATTACTTAGCCCCCTTTTACAACACTGGTCTACAAGAGCTTCCTAGACCTATTTGGTAAACCCACCTACTTCCACAGTCATCTAACTCATTATGATCAAAGAGAAACATCAGTTGCCCACAGGAGTCATGCGGGATTTCAGGTTAAACAACATACAACATCGTACCTTTACCACTGTATTCACCAGGAGAAGCAACAGTTCATGACTTTCATGGAGAAACAAAGACACAGCCAGATAACCTATGAAAATTAAGGGGGAAAGTCTCATTACTACCTACTGAAAATAAACTTTTCCCAAGAAGTTAAATGAAATATGTTCCAAAAGTCTTAAGTGTCAAAATATATCAGTTTCAGGTAAACATAAAAACAAATTGCAAAATATGAGGTTAAAAAACTGCTAAGGAAGATTTCAGGTGTTCTTCATTTTGAAATTTTTCAGAATTATGCATTTCAGGGCTGGATGTGGCAGTGGACGCCTGTAATCCCAGCACTCAGGAGGCTGAGCCAGGAGGATCACTGCAAGTTTGAGGCCTGCCTGGACTACACAGTGAGTTCAAGACCAGCCTGGACTACAGAGTAGGACCCTGTCTAAAAAAAAAAAAAAATACATATTTCACATGATGTATAGATACCAAGTTAAAGCCCTATAAAGACATTAGGATGTGCCTTCTATTTCCTGTGCAAATCTCCACATCATCAATCAAAATGTTCTCTATTTTATAAACAGTACGTCTTCACAAACTCGCATAGTTATTACAGTTAAGTCAATACTGGTTGTTGTATTATGGTGTGAGCTGCCTAGTAACAGTCTACATGATGTAAATGATACATTAAGCCACATACAGTTCCGTATTTCTCAATTTGAAGACACACTATTGAAAGAATAACAGCTGTTGAGCAGAGAAAAACTATCTACCACACTGAATGGACTCATGGCCTTAAATAAGCATTTCTATTTGAATAATATAACCTGAAAAAGCACATTTTAGGATGAAATATATTGATGCCATGACAAATGCCATGGACATACAATCGACACACTTCAGGCCATTCTCTTGTGGCCTCTGAGACTGACAAGAATATTTATTAGCCAGTTACCATGGGTCAAGGACGTTCCAGGCCTTACCTCATTTAACCCCCAGAGCAGCTCTAGGAGGTAGGTATTATTATTCCACCAATATGCATAATGATGAGGGCAGAAAAGGAGCAACCTCCTGGATTGGTCAGGCACCCGCAGCCCGAGGCCTCACTCTCACCTCACCGTTGTTCACTCCTCCCAAGTCTCTCGGACGTGTCCTTACATCCTTACATTCTAATGGTAACCGTGCTCATCACCGCCCTGGATCTGTACCGCCTGTATCTGTTGTGCAACCCGAGAAAGCAGTCACAAACGCCCTGTTCTCAGGATAAGGAGCAGCAGCACAGCTGACTGCAACGTCTTCACTCCTGCAGGGGAGCAGAGCTATGGCTCCCACAGTCAGGTGGGAGGACATGTGACCACGGCATGAGGCCCGAGTCTAATCCCCAGCACTACACACACACACACACACACACACACACACACACACACACATGTGCACACGCACACATAAAACCTGACCAGGCCCAAGAGAGATGAGAAAAACCCCAAAAAGCACTTGGAGCAGAGACGAAGTCTTACTGATGGCCCAGAACTCACGTGTTCAGCTACGGCATCACCCAAACCCGGTCACCAACAGCAACATCCACCAACTAAACCAAAGACCATCTCAAGGAAACCGGAATTCTGCCTGTTACAAACAATACCCACCTGTGTTGACAACCAAAGAATGAAGGAGAAAGATAATCTGTAACTCAAAAAAGGAAAAGCTTTTCAGGGCAACAAAGAGTAAACAATGACTAGAGCATACATCTGGCATGACTAGGAGTGAGGTATAGGACAAGAATATATATAGGCTTTGACTCACAGAAATCTGGGTTCACATTTGGTTCTAACATTCACCAACTCTATGACCTTGGACAAGTGACTTGACCTTTCTGAGCCTCTGTTTTCTCATTTTTTTTTTATTTTTACAAAGATTGGGTGTTTAATTAAGACAAACCCTGATATACGGTGAACATGAAAACAAGAACGGTTTAGGGTCCACAGGGTTCTGAAGGTCATTAATAGAAAAGGACAGAAGACTCTGCTTGCTACAAAAACCATCATGCCACATTTGTGGTCTAGTTTAAAAAGAAAGAACAAGTAAAGCAACAAAAGAGTGAATGAAAGGCACAAGACCCTGGGGAAAAATAGTTTTTACAAATATCTGTGCATACTAATCTTTCCTTTTTTCTGTGACTCGCACCTAGGGCCTCATGCACACCAGGCAAGCGCTCTAGTGCAGGGTGACACCCAGCTCCTCATGGAATCACCCTCTGGCAAGCTGTGCTCACTGTGGCAATCTTATTAACTTTATTTTTTTGATTTTTTGAGACAAGGTTTCACTATGTAGTTCAGGCTGGCCTCGAACTCAATGCAATTCTCCTGTCTCAGCCTCCTTAGTGCTGGGATTACAGGCATCTCCAATCAACTTCATTATCTTACCTTTTGGTTTTCAGATGGAACTTTAGAAAAAAAACTAGCAAGAAAACAGTTCTGAAAGTGGCTCCTCTTAAATCCTTTGGTATGACTTGGCCATTTTATAGTAATCTATCCAGTAAGAACTGTAACATCCATGTACCAACAGCAATGTAGTGAGGAACACAAATGTTTACAGAACAGTAACCAAAGAACAAATGATATTTTTGATCTTGTGGAAAACAGAACTCTAAAAATTGTACCTGTGCTTCTGTGGCAAAGAACCTGTGTTTCTACTGCTGAAAAGAACAACTCTAATGGGATTTATATTAAGGAAATGTTACATAAAACATCCCTTTCGTGATTATTAGAATAACTGCTCTATATACTTTTTTTAAAGAAGAGGCAAGTTTTGGCTTGAAAAAAAGAATTTTTGTGCCTTCTGATTCAATGAGAGTCAACATCAAGAATTTCATGCCAGTCTGCAGGACAGCAAGGGTTATTCATTTGCTGCAGAAGTCAGCTAGTTTTCTCCCCAAAGCATTTTTTCTATTTCCACATCCAGTGCTCATCCTGCTTCTCCAATTGTGACCACCTCATACCTCTGAAGCTCCTGTTGCAGTTCTTTTTCCCAATTGGCACAATCCTCTTCTCACACAGCTGTCTCTTCTCCCTTTTTGTTAACCACAAGTTGCTCCATTTCTTTCCTTAAGTCTTCCTTGATTCAAGTTACAGCCGTTGAAGGCATCACTGCCAAACTCAGAAATGCCTGGGCTTGTGGAAATTTCTTCCTCATCCACTTGAGTTTTAAACTGAGATTTGATTACGACAGCTGGCGTTTTGGGCCGCACTGACTATCAGCAGCGAGTCGGCATCCATGGGGCTGCTTTCTCCTTGCCTGAGACCTGCTGCTGCAGGCCAGGGCCGTAAGCTGGGCCAACCACTCAATGAAGGTCATGCATTCATAGTTCCTCCAGAACACCTCCTTCTTCACGAGTTGGGAACCAGAGCAAAGTGCATCTGGCTCAGCAGCTCGCCCTCTCGCAGCACGACCAAGGCAACAGGGTACATCTGATCAAAGTCAAAATGAAACAGCTCTCCAGCTGGAGGGTCAAAAAGGAAATTCCTGTTGTCAGCTGATGAGGCCAGGATCTGTTGCTGAATGGTTTCTTCATCCAGACTGTCAACCCACGAGGGCATGGCTGCTTCAGATTCTTTGTATGCTGTTCCTCAACAAATTTTTTCTGCTCCTTCTGAAAGTCTCCTGTAATTGTCTTATCAATGATGTCTTCTATTTTTCCTTCTACGGATTTATCGTGTGTGCTGTTTCAACAACTGATTCAGCTATCGTTTTTGTGGCAGCACTTGGAAAGCTAAACAGATAGTCTGTTAGATGTCTGATCCACTGACTTTGTGTTCTCTAAAACTGAACAATGAATTCTAGGAACAATGAGGTTAAGAGTAGGAATACTGAGGGAAAGATAGCTTCTGTTCAAGAAAGAAGTTGCCCCATTTTCTCGTTTTTTAAATGAAGATAAATACTGTCTCACAAAATAAATCCCTTAACATCACACCTGACTTAACGGGTACTAAAAGGTACTTATCCAACAATATTCACACAAAAACCCAGATGGCATTTTCCACCAGAAGAAGTTCCACGCTGGCCTTAGAAACCCCAGGAGAGAGAGGAGGCAACAACACAGAGAATAGAAAGATTAAAGGTTTAAATACTACCTTAAAAAGTGACTTCCACTTGAGAGAGCACATCAAGATTATCTAATGCCTACAGATACATGCACTCTAGTTGACAAGATCATAAATGTCCATAAAAATGGCTCTGAGAACTCATTAAGATGACCTCCCATAACTATGAGAAAATACATGTAGAATGTTACCACAGTATTCGTAAAAGCAAAAAAATCAAACACCACCCATATGTCCACCAATAAGGGGATCTAGATGAAAAAAATTATGGTACATCCACCCAACAAAAATTATACAACTACATAAAGTTATGAAGACATCAAAACAACTATGGAAGCTATATAGTATGATATCATTTGTGCAAGAGATAGAGAAATTAGCCTTCGCTTTTCCCAAAATTCTCAACACTGGCTGAAAGCTCCTTTTGAGCTTTTCCTTCTTAGGAAAGAAAATAACAGAAAAATACTCCATACACAACCTTTCAGAACAGCATGATTAGAAAGACTTCAGACACATGAAAACCCTTCCTGAGATGAACTCCAAGCTATAGGTTGGCCTCAAAAACAGTGAATATGACAGGAAGGGCTTTTTTAAGTCTGTATAAAATAAAGCACTTGTAGAAAAATTCCACATTTTTGTGAGAAGTCCAAATTTTTAAAAAGTAAATTATTAATAAAGACAACTTTAATACCTCAAAAAAAAAATCCTGCCTTTGGGATGTTAGAATTAGTCCAGAAACTAAGATGTGGAAGTCATCTGAGTGACCTGAGAAGAGCTAAAATTTGACATGGAACATGGAGGGGAAGCAGGGTGCCAGAGGACACTCTCCCTGGAGAACAGAAATCTAGAAGATCAAAGACATTTTGGAGGAGTGAGGCCGCCGAGTGGGACGCTGTGTGCTTTACCAAGACGCCCTCCTCCCTGCCCTGCTCTCCAACACAGAGAGCACCAGTCCTTGTCAACACCTTGGCACCCAGAGCACGCCGCATCCCCGCACCACTCCAAAGTGCTTCCCTCTCGGATTCGGTACAAAGCTGAACCTTGGCAAAACAGAAGACTTAAGGCCTGGAGAGAATTTTTTCCTAATAGCCTATAGGATCACCACAGAGATAGAAATTTTAAAAAGATACTGCTGATCCTCATAGCTAACATTTGTGAAATCAAGAACAGGATATTTTAAATTACTCTAATCAATTTTAGTTTTTTATCTTATAAAGAAACATTTCTGGCCATTAAGCTGATGGAAAAAGCTGAACTTCTTAAAATCGGGTTTATTAAGGTATAATTTACATACAAGAAAATTCACTAATTTTAAGCATATAGCTCCATGAGTTTTGACAAATACATGTAATCATCTAAATACCTTTACAAGAGCAGGCGATTTTTCATCTCTACAACTCAAAAATGTTATATAAATCAGGAAAAGTAGTTTCATTTATAGTCTTTGGATTTCTGAAGTGTGACCTTCTAAAGGTTTGGAAATTATAATGCAGAGTTCTAAAAATATTCTCTATATTTGCCATCATTCATCTTCTTTTTTCCTTTGGTTTTTTGAGATAAGGTCTCGCTATGTAGTTCAGGCTGGCCTTGAACTCACAGCGATCCTACTGCCTCAGCCTCCCAAGTGCTGGGATTACAAGTGTGCACAACCATGCCCAGAACCATCATTCAATTTATACAGCAACTGGAACTTCAATGACAATATTAAAATATGAAAATCTTAAACACATAAACACATCCAGTACATACCTACTCTTTTTTCTAAGAGGTTTCCTTGTTGGGCTAGCTTGATTGCATGTATATAGCCAAAGGAAGCATCATATCCAAGCATTTCACAGTACATAAGTCTCACCATACATTCCTTCATCATTTTCTGGAAAACAAAATACCCAGCCACTATATAAACAAATAAAATTCTCCAATTTTTTTTTTTTAGTACGTGTTGCAATTTAACAGATAATTCTGGCACTGAAGAGAAAAATACATATTATAAATTAGTCACTCAATATCAGACTAAGTAGAAGTTGCTTCCAATCTTAATTACCAATAGTATTAATTTTGGTAAGATTATTTCAAATATTTTGGTGATAGTGAAAATAAATCAATTGTACCTATTTCTAATTCTATATGCCCACAGTATAAAATTGGTTACAATGTGATACATGTGGTCCTCATACAAAATTTCATCCACAGTGGCATCTAAAATTATATACAAGTGGGCCGAGGATTTAGCTCAGTGCCCACCTTGCAAGTGCATGGTCCTGAGTTGGATCCCCAGTACAAAAAAATTAATTAATTAAATAAAATTATATACAAGTGAAATATACTTTGTCAAATGAAAATACCCACAAAATTCTCACAAGTTGGCAACAATTTCTGTAATAAAAATATTTTTCACATTTAAAATCAAATTGCAAGCTAGACCTGCACCTGTAGCCCAGCACTTGGCAGACTGAGACAGGAGGATCATCATACAAGCCTGAACAACACAGCAAGACCCCATCTCAAACAAACAAAAATAAATAATATGGCACCTAGACTTTCTTCATAAATATTATTCCACATATATATAACAGTCTGCTTTATAAGTACTTCTTATTTAATGAACTCGGGGTGGGGCTAGTTAGCCTTCACTAGTCACAGTAAAATTGTGCACAACTTTACTTTCTTTCTCTTCTTTTCCCTTGTTTTTGCAACATTGGGGGTTGAATCTAGGGCCTTACAAATGCTAGGCAAGCACTCTACCACTGAGCTATACTCCCAGCCTAAGCTCTTTAAGTAACTCACAATTATCATGGACTCAGGGGCATGATTTCATTAAAAGTATAGTTACTCCAGTGATATTTAATTTCTTAGTGGGGTCTTTTCATATTTGCAAGACAAGCTAAAATTTTTTTTAATTACATAAATTTGTTTTATCAGTACAACATTTGCATTCTCAGAATTTGTAGCAAATTTTAGTCAGAAATAAAAATGCTTCAAAATAGTATCTAAAATTAAGAAGGGAATGGAATTAATATGAGAAAATGAAAAAAAAGAAACAAAGTCTTTGTAAATAGGGAGGGCAGGGGAAAGGGGAAAAAATAAGAACCAAGAGAGATTATGTAAAGGTGCATATTTCCAATGATGAATGTCATTATATTGTACACCTAAAATGTATCAATAAAAGGATATACAAAAAAAATTTTAATTATAATTAATATATATTACCAATGTTATCAGTGGAAAATGTCTTATTTTTATTTTGCATTTATTTGATAACTTATGACAGACCTTAATCATAAATAATCCCTTGTGCTTTCACCTGAAAAAGACTCACTTGATTCAGAATCTGGGCCTTTGACACTGGTGCCTAGAATGCACTCCTAGTCTCCACAAAAATCTGACTGCTTCTCTGTTATGACACATTCTTTGTTTTCCAAGAAGCCAGTGAAAATGTGAGCATAGGGTCTACATATATGGGGAAAAAAAAAGACACAAAAAGAAACATGCTCTGCAGAGCAGGTCTGGGCCAATTAAGAATAGGGAAAAAAAAAATCTAAAAATTAATTAGCATATTACAGAATTATTAAGTCAAAAAATATTTACAGTGTATAAGCATTTTAAAATTTAATAGTAATAGTAAAATTAAGTATTCAAAAGCAAGGATAGTTAGCACTGCACTGCACGTGTGTATGTGCACACGTGTGTAAACACAGAGCTTAAAAAGACACCATAGGAAAGTGTAGAATGAGACTCAATTGAGGTCACCTGTGCTTAAAGCAATAAAAGTTAATTAACACATTAATTAAGATTACTAAATACAGGAGCTGGGGAGATTGAGCTTCAGAGTACTTGCTTAGCTTTGTGCAAGGCCCTGAGTTCAATTCCTAGCACCACAAAAAAAGATTACTAAACACCAAGAAAGACTATGTCCCTCTTCAAAGGCTTCCGTGTTAATTAGAAAGCTAAGTGTTAATTTAAGCCATTAAGTTTCAATCTGGATTTAAAACATTATCTCAAGAGTTCTCCAAGTCATTATGAGCTTTAAGTAAAATTACTACATACATTATTATTCTCTTATTTTTAGAGAAAAAAAACTGCATTCCTGAACGTAGTAATTCTCCTTACAATTTTTCTAACAGTTTTCATACCATTCAAAGTCACCTTAGAGGGCCAGGGATTTAGCTCAGTGGTTTCGCCGCCTGCTGCACAAGTGCAAGAACCTGAGTTCGCTCCCCGGTACAAAAAAAATAAAAGAATAAAAGTCACCTTAGACAACTCTAAGAGGGATGCCCAGAGATGGAGGGCCATGATTATTATATAATCATTCTTCCAAGCCCTGGTTCCCTAACTTCTACCTATTAATCTTAGTTATATTCAATGCCAGATTTATGCCTTGTTGCAAGAAAAACTGTAGGGCTGAGGTGTAGTTCAGTAGCATAGTATTTGCTACTGAAAGCGTGCAGAAGGCCCTAGTCCCAACACTGGACGAAAGGAAAAGAAAGAGTATACCTAGTGATATCAAATACACAAAATGGAAATCTAACAAAAAGAAACTATTTGCTGAGTGCAACAGTGCACACTTCTAATTCCATCATTCTGACAGGCTAAGTCAGGGGCGGGTGGTCACAAGAGTCCAGACTTGGCACCTCAAAACATGAATAAATGAATGAAACCATTTATTTTTAACATTTCTATCAAATACATGAAGTACAAAAATTTCATACAGATACCCGGGCCGGGGATTTAGCTCAATGGCACCATGCCTGCCTTGCAAGCTCAGGGACCTGAGTTCAATTCCCCGTACCAAAAAAAGAAAAGAAAAAATTTTATACAGATATCTACAACTATACACACTAACATACACATACTAACCTACACAGAGATATCAGATTGATATCTTGAGTTTTATTGGTCCACATATTATGATGACCATAAAAGAAAATATATACATTCTCTCAGACTTTACAAATATTATTCATGTTCCTGATCATGTACTCATGCAAAATGATCACCTTGGCATTTTTATTAGGGGGAGGGAAAACATCCCCACAGTGACACAAAACATACTCACTAAAATGAAGCTTATTAAATGCTGGTTGGGAAAAACCTCATTTAAAAAAAAGGAAGCCAGGTGTGGTACAGCACTGTAATCCAAGCAACTCGAGAGGTTGAGGCAAGAGTATCAAAGCTCAAGACCAGCCTGGGCAATTCAGCAAGACCTTGTCTTAAATAAAATAAAAAGGGCTGGGGATGTAATCCAGAGCTCTCTGGATCCAACCCCCAGTACCACCAAGGAAAAAAAAGGTATTATACATTGTTTAGATGTACTGAATTATCACATTGTACCCAATAAAAATGTGCAATCATTAAAAGTAAAAAAATAGCAACCACAAAAACCCAGGTCTTAATTCCACTCTTTAATTCAACTATAGCCTCCAAATAGTGGCTATTCATTAGTAGTTGGTGAATGAATGCTGTTTAAAAAATCAAATTTTGGGGTCGGGGATTTAGCTCAGTGGTTCCAGCACCTGCCTTCCAAGTGCAAGGTCCCAAGTTCAATCCCCGGTACCAAAAAAAAAATTAAATTTTATCCAGTTCAAAAACAGGTAACTGGCCTTGATTTAACTGCTGTGCAGTACACTCAGTTTCACAGCAAGAAAAAAATTATTCTACCTGCCAGCCAACCTATACTCCAAAAGGTATACCACTAAAATTAAAGATCAACAATTCAGAGTCAGGGGGTGTAGCTCAGTGGCACAGTGTGAGTTTAGCATTCATGAAGCCCTGAGTTTGATCTCCACTTCCCCCAGCCTCCCCACAAAAAATGTGTATCAATTTCAGAAAGAAAATATTACGCTAAATGACACATACAAACCTTTCAGAGTATACAACACTAAAACAAGATGTGTACTGGAGTCCCAGGGGTGTACAGTCACATATGTGTGATTACCGTCACCTTTGTCCTGACTTTACACAGTCAGCGTCATCTCAGTCCACTGAAGCACCCAACGATAAAATCTAAGGTAATGTCTGCTACCACCTACAGCCAACTTTGACTTTGAGACACCTGAGAAACTATCAGTTAGCTGCCACTGTTGGTCACGGTGGGCCAGACTTCACATGCACATGTGTTGGCACCAACTGCAAACTTACCAGTGTCGTAGTAGGAGCAGAAACGGTTGCCTTCAAACTACTCAGTTCCTGCTGGATTAATTTCTCTTCTTCCTGAAAAGGTGAATGTATTTAAATGCTTGAATAACTGTCTTTTTAAACTGTAACAGTATTTAAAGGAGAAAAATAAAATACTACTTTCAATTAAAAAGGAACATTATTTTGAGATAAATATAATGTGCTGAAGATCTGCATCTCGCCAACCATCAGAATCACCCCTAGAGAGAGTATTTCGAGGCTAATCCACCACTCCTCTTTTCTTCACTCAGATACTGGCCCCTTGAAAAACTATTCACCAGAAAAATGCATCTAAAAAATTAAAAGCGGAAAGTAGAAAGAGATTCTCCGTGTCCGGGCCCAAGATAAATCTCATGTCTTCCTCTTAGAAATATGAAGTCTTCATGGAATTGAAAAATAGAGTAAGAAGACACAAATGAACAGTTTCTTTCCTTTCTTTGTTTTTGTTTGAGACAGAGTTTTGGTACATATTCCAGGCTGGCTTTAAATCACTACACAGCCCAGAGAGGCCTTGAATTTGCAATCCTCCTGCCTCAGCCTCTCAAGTAGCTGGAACTACAAGCATGCCCCACCACACTCTTTCTCTCTCATACACACCCCGATGTAGACATTTCCAGCCTTTCCATTATATTTCATCTCCTTAAACACTTAAAAATTGGCCCCATTTTATTGCTCCCTTTAAATACACACTGAATTAGCAGATATTATGGTTTACATCTAAAATGTCCCCAGCTGGGCATGGTGCCACACACATGTAATCCCACCACTTGGGAGGCGAAGACAGGACTGCCATGAGTTCAAAGCCAGCCTGGACTACATAGCAAGACCTTGTCTCAAAAAATAATAATAATAATTCTGTAATAATAATAAATAAATTAAATTAAATGTCCCCAAAGACGCATGTGTTTGGGAGGTGACTGGATCATGGGGCTCTACAGGAGACGGGGTTCGGCCAGGAGAGGTGGGTCACTAGACCCCTTCTCTATGCCCTTCTTGTCTTGGAGCAGGCCAACTATGAACTAAAAATGTGAGCCTGAATAAACTTCTCCTCCTTGAAATTGTGGGTGTCAGGTATTGGGTCTCAGCAACCAGGAAAGTGACTAAGATAACAGGTTTTCATGAGATGGTTAAGAACTACTAGTGAAGTAGTGCCACATTTGGATACACTACAATGTAAAGACTAAAAATGTATTTTTTTTGGCACTAGAAATTGAACCCAGGGCCTCTACCGTGGAAATACATCATCAGCTTTTGCTTCTCATTTTATTTTATTTCTTCAAACAAGGTCTTCCTAAATTGCCCAAGCTGGCCTGGAATTCTGGATTCTCCTGCCTCAGTCTCCCAAGTAGCTTGAATTACAGGTATTCACCTCCACACTGAGCCAAAAAAAAAAGTCATTCGCTATTTCATAAAAATGAGCTAAGGACAAAACCATGAGCAATATGAACTTTCACAAATAATGATTCTGCAATGTGTAGCAGGCCAACCCTCTCCAGAATAGCATCATCTGACATCAGCTTACAAAAACATTCTAACCCTTTATCATACTGTTTTTCTTTTCTCCTGACACTTCTATTGCCTTGTAGTCATGCTTATACTTAAGCCTCAAACGGATGCTGTTCTTTGGGAGAAGAGAATATGCCTTCCTCAGTGTCTAACACATAACCTTGCTCCATAAATATCTGTTGAACAAATTATGGCACACTATGTGTTTTTAAGATATAAATTCCTTGAGGCTTTGAAACAGCATCTTATACAAACCGTGCAATTCCCAAAAGTCGGTGGAAAACAACTTCTCCCAGAACAGCTCATTTTCAAAGTCCATCTCAGGCAGAGACTTACTCAGCAAATTTTACACTCTGGGAGAATTTAAGTTTCTTTTTCTCTGCCCACCCCTTAGCCTAAGAACCTCTGACTCCCCTGAGGTGCGCACAGCAGGCTGGCTTGGTAGGATCTATCTAGATGTGTGCGTCCAGCTGATGGAGGGACCCAGAGGGAAGAACTGAACGGGGAAGAAACTGCAGGTGAGCAATGCCTGCCACTACCCACGAATTGAGTATTTACACACACTTGACACCTCCTGTAAGCTCACAGCAAGTATGAAATATGCTTGTCCACTTGAGCGCTGGGAAACACGGAGGGTCAAGGGGAAAGGAACCTGCTGCAGCCTCCCTGGGTCTGTCCAGGCAGGAAAAGGTCGCTTCCAGTCACACGGAAGGGAAGGCCTCCCCGCGCGGCCCCGGCCTCCCCGCCCCGCACCTACGTGCTTGGAGCTGAGGGCGGTGACGCCGCGGACCAGGCCGCCCAGGCGCGAGGAGAAGGGCGTCTTGGCCGCCGCGGGCCCGCCGCCCGGCTGGCTCTGGAGGAAGAGTCCCGGCAGCGCCGTCAGCGTCCTCTCCACGATGTCGCTCATCGCCGCCGCCCGCACACCCGAGCCGCCCCGTAGCACGCCCCGCCGCCGACGCCCTCACGGCCTCCGTAGGCGCTCGCGCGTTTTGAACCCGCAATGTTCCTGTACGCACGCATGCGCGAGCACGGCGCCGTCCCGGGCCGCCGAGTCCGCGGAAGCAATGGCGGCCGCGTGTGGGGTTTAGGGGCCTTCGAGGCTCGGCCCTGCGGTTTGGTGGCAGTCGGACCCCGCGCGAGGATGAGTCCTGAGCCCGTGGGCCTCGTTCTCCCAGCCTCGCTGTGGAGGACGCCTGCGAGGCCTCCCAGCTCCTTTCGGGTCTGACAGACACCTGTCGCCTGTCACAACACTCGTTCCTTTCCGCGGCCACTACGGAGATAGTGACCTCTAGCCGTAGGTTTTACCGCTCCTCCCTACAACAGAATCCAGTTCGGGGGCTCTCAGAATGTGGGTCGGCGACTTCAGAGGCCCGGAGCCCCTTCCAGGCCACCTGACGACAAAACTGAAGAATTGTACTTTGGTGTTCTCTGCCGAGTCACTCCTGTAATCCCAGCAATGTGGGAGTCTTAGGCAGGAGGATCAAAAGTTTCAGACCAGGGTGGACAACTTAGCGATTTAGCAAGACCCGTCTCAAAATAAAAAATGGGGAGCTAGGGATGTAAAGGCCCTGATTCAGACCTTGGCCTGGAAAAAAACAATATTTTCCATTTTCACTCTCGTTCTCTTGAGTGTACAAAGGACTTTAGGAGTTTTCGAGAAGTTAGATGAGATATTGAAATGGAAAGGAACAAAAGACAGCAGAGACCAACGGTCTCAAAGCTGGACAGAGACTGACCGCCACAAGGCTGCCCAGTCTCTCGGAGCTTGCCCCTCCTGCTAAACCCAGGAAGGTCATGCTGAAACAACACCTACCTGTACCTCCCTATCTCCCTATGTCTTAAAGATAAACTGTAAAGAAAAAAAAAAGTTTAAAAAGCAACATTACCTCCACGTCCCTACCCTTTGCTGAGTTCTACTTTAACATTCTGCTTGCTCCCCCACTCTGGCTAAAGAACGGATATATATGAGAACAAACTTAGAAATGGGGCTCAGACTCTGGAAGGTGACTTCCGCTAGGCCCACTAGCGATAATCTTTCCCTTCAATTCTCTGAGTGCTGCTCTCTTCCTTGGTCCGCGTGCCCTTCAAGTGCCATTTCAATATGGCTGCTCTCTCAGCTGACAAAAGATGTTTGAGTATTTTTTGTGCTTTCTGGAATTTACTTATATCTTATATTGGGGATTGAACCCAGGGCCTTGAGCATGTTAGGCAACTGCTGTACCACAGAGCTACATCCCCAGCCCAAGAATGCTTTTTAATTTATTAAAAACTTTTCCAAATACTAAACTCTTATCTAAAACTGATATTCTTTTAGAATTTAATATTTTACCCCAAAATAAGATTATTACCCCAAAATTGATTATGACTTTTTAGGGGAAGTTTGAAGATTTGCTTTCTAGCCTTCCCACATGGAAAGACTCTAGAAAAAATGATGCTAATAACATCAGGATCAGGGAATTGACTGACGCGGGAAGGGGAAGATCTAGTAAAACTGTTTCTAAGGGAAGTATGATAAAGGCTGCTTTCTTTCCCTGGCTTTGGAGATGTTGATCATTTGCCCTATTATATCTTATTCAACAGAATTTTTTCAAATACTGTACTGTTATGGTGCTACTTAAGTTGAGGCATCATTTTGAGACCAGCCAGATTTTTTTTTTTTTTTTTTTGGTACTGGGGATCTATCTCGGAACCTTGTGCTTTCGAGGCAGATGGCGGAACCACAGAGCTACATCCCCTGCCCGAGAGCAGCCACATTTTTAAAGGAAAGGGAATTTAATATTTTAAACACAGACATGATGAGTTTTGTAAAACCTCAAACTTTCTTGTTATCACTTTCCAAAGTAGAAATGAAAAACCCACTGAATCACCTTACTGCATAGTACATTATTGCAGCACATTGTCTAGAGAAGGGCATACAATATCTAGAAGACCAATAAAGCCTTGGACGTCGCTGAATGAATGCTTTCTGAATGAAAAATTGGTAAAAGAAATCATGGCAGTGTGATTTTCCAAAGATGCGGTAACTCGACAAGAATTTCTACAAACCTACAGTAACCAAGACAGTGCAGTATTGGCTTGAAGATAGACTTACACATGGAACAGAATTGGGAGTCCAGAAATAAACTCTTAGTGTATGGCCAGTTGAACTTTTATGCAGTAGCCAAAACACTTCTTTATAGAAAAGACAATCTTTTCAACAACTGGATTTTGATAGACAAAAAAAAGAAAAACTGAACTTATTCTTCACGCTGTATACAAATGTTCATAGCAGCATTATTCACAATAGTCAAAAGCTGGAAACAACCTAAAACACCCATCAACTAATGAATGGATAAATAAAATGTGGCTGTTGTCATTCGGCTCTCAAAAGGAATGAAGCACTGATACATAATATAAATAACAGTTGAACTTTGAAGACTATAGACTAAACCAAATTAGTCACAATAGGCAACATACGATTTCATTTGTATGAAATTACCAGAAAAGCAAATCAGTAGAGTCGAAAGCAGATCAGTAGTTGCTGACACTAGAACTGAAAATAAAGACTGACTGCAGATACTCAGGAGGAAACTGTCTATTCTAAAATTTTAATGTGACAATGATTGTGCAATGCTATAAACTACTCAAAATCTTTCACTTGCGACAGGTGAAGTTCTATGGAATATTAATGTATTTTATATTTCCATAAAACTAAAAATTAATTTCAGCAGTGCATGTTCATGCTGATTGTTTACACACACACCCCCCTCCCCCCGGGGCTTAGTGACCAGAAATGCAAGCAGAAATATAATTTGTTTAGAAAAAAAATTAATACATTGAGGAGGATCTGTAGGTGCTGGCCAGAGGGAAAAACTAAGAATAGCAAGAAGTTGTTCCAGAAGCCTTCCCACTGGAGAATGAGACTCCGGGGGCGGGCGGGGGGGGGGGGGAGTGGTCAGGGAATGGTAGTGGTGGAGATTTAGGCAGCTTTACTGTATTTACTTATTTATTTTGGGGTTGTTTTTTTTTTAGATAGCCTTGCTGTAGTTCAAGTGGGCCTTGAACTCACTATGCATTCCAGTCTCACCTTGAATTCTCAAGGATCCTCCTGCCTCACCCTCCCAGGGCTGGGATTACAGGGCCACACAACTGAGGGCTAATTTACCAACTTTAGAAAACATAGTTCCACTCTTGTGCCCAAGAGGGCACCAGAGGACCAAGACCAAGAGGTGACTGGAGACATTCCCAGCTCCTGGCTGGGAATTCACTCTAAGTCTGACCCATGTTCGCAAACCAGGACACTACTTTGTTTCCTTTTATTTTCTTTCTTGAGAGAAGGAGGGAATTTACTTGAAGGTGGCTTCCTTTTAAGTCTGAAACTGTAGCAGCGAGAGCCAAGGGAGACTCTCCAGAGGAGAGGCAGCCAAAAGAAACACCCTAGAAGAGCTTTTTTCAGGATGACACATGCTATTTTCTTCCTCTCTTGTGGTGATTCGGATTCACATTTCACACAGCCCTTTTTCTGGGTTTTCTCCCCTCTGCCCTGACCTCTAGCTGACAGAGTGCATCTGCAATGTTTTCCCATCCCCACTCCCAGCCTTGGATCAGCCTGGTCAAAACTTCAGCTGGAAGAGGTCCATGGGTCAAGTTCTGGGTCAGTTCCTACCCAACACACACCTTTGCAAGGCAAATCCTTGCTCCTCCCAAAGTCCTCCAACCTGGCTTCTGTCTAACCTATTTCAAGCCACAGCCTGTGAAACAAAACTCCATTCTGTACCATGTATTTACATAGTCTGGTTGAGCTGCTTTTAAGATTTCTTTTCCCTAAGGAGCTTAATAAATAAGTAGAGGCAAACACAAACCCCCCTCCATACTTGGACAGAATTTTCCCACATGCACTCATTTTAAAACTCCAGTTCCCAGGAAATCTTTGTGATGACTTTTCCCCATAGTCTACCAGGTCAGGATAAGAAAAGGAGATAAACTCTAGAGAGAATAAGGAGGATCTTCCAGAAGAAAAGGAAGTACTTAGCATTTGATTAGGCCCTGATCCACAGCACTGTAGGAAGAGATCAGAAATGAATTAAGTTTAAAAAAATAATAATAATAGGGCCAGGGATTTAGCTCAGTGGTTCTGGCGCCTGCCTCGCAAGCACAAGGTCCCAAGTTCGATCCCCGGTACCAAAAAATAAATAATAATAATAATAATAATGTTCCAATCCAGGAGTGGTGGTCATGTCTGTAATCCCACTACTCTGGGAGGCTGAGACAAGAGGATCACAAATTTGAGCCCAGCCTGGGCAGCCTTTTGATTTAGCAAAACTTTGTCTCAAAAGTAAAAATAGATGTGCAAAGGACCTGAGTTCAGTCCTTGGTAACACACACACACACACACACACACACACACACACACACAAGAACATTCCATAAAGGTGATAATATCACTGGGAAATTGGCCCCTCACTCCTTGGTCCTCAGTTCCTTTATGTCCTTGATGAAAGATTTCAGCCAAGACACATAGGTGAAGTATAGGTAGACTTTATTGTAAAATGGACATAGAAGGTAGGCAGTGTCACAAAGATAATCTGGGCCAAGTGTGAGTTTGGACAGGTTTCTGTATACATTAAGAGTTATTCCTTGAGTTTGGGGAACTATGATGACAGACATTGTTTTATTTGACATTTCCCTCAGGAGTTACTTTGGAGTCTCATTATCTCAGAAGTGTCTTCTTTGTTCTTTTATGGGGGTCAGTGTTCTCTCCAGGGCCTTAATCATAGAAGAATCTACATCAGGTCTCAGCCCAGGGAGGGAGGGTCTTTAAAGAATGCTCCCCTTTCTGCTGTCATTGGATATAGGTCATGGTGCCCAGGAAGGCTGCCTGCCTTGCTTTGGAAATAGCCGGCCAGGGGGCCAGGTATTGGAAGGAATGTGCACAACGTGTGACCTTAATCTGTCACTGTGCTCTGTGCAGTGGCTTTAGTCTGAGACCAAACAAATGGTTATGAATGGACTCT